CCCCCCGCCGCTGTTGTTCGTTGTTCGAGAGCGTCGCCGGGCCTCCAGGCTGACCCGACGAGGCCAGACCGGACCTCTCCCCCCCCCCCCGCCCCCGCCGCCGCCGCCGCCCTCGCCCTGCCCGCACGGCCCCGCGGATCCTCCCCGACGCTGTCACCGCAGCAGCAGCCACCTGCAACGCCAGCGCCGCCCTGGTGCCCTTCGCGCGAAGCTTGTCGTCTTTGTGTGCTGCTGTGACTGGCCCTGCTGGCGCCGGCATTTTTAGTATTTTTATTATCATTATTCCTGGGCCAGTGCACGTCCCCTTGTTTGTTCTCCTGCCGCGTCCCAAACAGAAACCCAAACGCGGCGACCCACGGCCAGATGATGAAATCTTCTCACCGCGACACCGCCGCGTGGCAGGGCGCTGCCGTGGGTGCTGTTTCGCGCCGTGACCCTGCCCCGGGCCGTCAGCAGAGGCGCTATCTGGCCCTGAATCCCGCGTGCTTCACATGTCGTTCGCGATGGATCCGGAGGCAAGGTTTCCTCCTGCTTGGATCCCTGGGTCTGACCCTATATATTATATTGCTCTGCTTTCCCTCGCTAGCCATTCGTTTCTCGCACTGCCTGGAACAGAATTGTGTCCAAATCTTTCCCTCCTGGCTCTGCATGGCCCTGTCGACCGCACCCATGGGTATCGCTCCGTCTGTTGCCATACCGCAGGGGACTGTGGTTGGCACTGTCATGGCTGATGCCGCTTTGCGCCGTCCTGTGGACGCTTTCCTTGGAGTACCGTATGGCCAGGCGCCAATCGGCGAAGGGAGATTCAAGCGTGCGCTGCCCGTGAACCCGTCAAACGCGACCATCGATGCTTCAAAACACGGGAAAAGGTACTTGCAGACTGCCTCTGACATGCCAACTGAGCTTATTCGCTTCTGACACTGTATGCTAACAATAACCCCTCGTTAGATGCGCTGCCGGGCCTCTGACTATGCCTGCAACCGACTGGGGTGAAGACTGCTTGAATTTGAATCTTTTTCGCCCCAAAGATATGCCTCCAAACAGTAAATTGCCCGTCGCCATATACCTCCATGGTGGCGCTTTCAATGGCGGTGCTGGTATGTGACATGGGGCCCTCTGTCACTTTATACCACCTGCAGAGGCTTATGCGTCATTTGGTCTAGGCAAATCGCATAATTCCGCAAATATGCTCTCTTGGTCGGAAGAACCTTTTATCATTGTGAATTTTAATTATCGGTATGCTATTATTGTTTCTCTTAGCAAATGATTGCGCTAAAATTCTCTTCCACCCCAGACTTGGTGCACTCGGCTTCCTCCCATCGGCCATCATGGCAAAAGAAAAGCAGCTGAATCTGGGCCTGCACGACCAAATATTACTATTGGAGTGGGTCCAAAATAATATTGGAGCTTTTGGTGGAGATCCGAACCAAGTAACGCTAATTGGTCTATCCGCCGGTGCTCATTCGGTATGCTTTTCTCCCCAGAAATATTGAGCTAACTAATGCACCGGCCTTCTAACCTGCGCATGTAGATTGGACATCATATTATGCATGAAACGAAGCCAAAGCAACTCTTCCACCGAGCCGTTCTTGAGTCCGGTGCCACTACTGCTCGTGCAATTTATCCACCCGATAACCCCCTACATAAACAGCAATTCGATGAGTTTCTCACAGAAGTCAAATGCTCCGGGCTTGCTGAAAATGCAATACTACCTTGCCTACGAGGTAAACCCGCTCTTGACGTTGCGCGCGCCTCGGAAACGATCTTCAATCGCTATGGCCCCTCCAATCGATGGGCCTTCCAACCCGTCATTGACGGTGACATAATAAAGGACTCTCCTACCAAGAACTGGCAATCTGGTATCTGGAATAAGGTACCCATCCTGACAGGTTTCAACACAGACGAAGGCGCTCCTTTCACGCCTTCCGGCCTGTCAAAATCTGAGGAATTTTCCAACTTCTTCCGGACCCTAATTCCCGCTATGTACACGTCAGACATCAACCTGCTTGACCGACTTTACCCCGACCCCCTCAAAGATCCTAAATCTCCTTACGTCGAAACCCGCCCGATTAGAGTTGGCCCTCAGTACAAACGAGTTGCCGCTGCATACGGACAATTCGCTTACATCTGCCCTGTTCGACAAACCGCGGATCTAGCCTCCAAAGGCCAAACCGCGCCGGTTTACTTGTACCATTGGGCGTTGAACAAAACAGTGCAGGGAGGCGCCAGCCATGGCGACCAAGCGGAGTATGAAATATTTAGCCCTGGCATAAGACAAATTTCCCCGGCGCAGGAGCAAATATCAGGCTTTCTTCATGCGTATTTTACTTCTTTCATCACCAAGGGGGATCCTAATGCCATCAAGGGCACGTTCGCAAACAGGCCGGCCTGGAACGCGTTCAAGGTTAGCACCCCAAAAAGCGTAATGCTTTTTGGACAGGGAAATGATCAACGGGCGGGAGGAAAAGGGGTCGGTGTCCCGGCCCAAATGACAGACAACAGGGCCTTCGAAACGGAATGTAACTTCTGGTGGGATCGAAGGCTTCTGACGGAAAAATAACGTTTTGGCTGATGCTTGCAGCTTTACGCATGTAACGACTGATGTCCTGCATATATCTGAAAATCTTCTGTGTCTCAGCGTCTTTGATTTGAGAAAGTAACATCAATATAATCATGGTTCCAACGCACGCAACATAGTGGCGTTGCAGACCAATTCCTACGTATGCGATGAGACTGTAGGTGGGCGGTTACATGTTGGGGAAGGTGGGCCTACAGGTGCGTGGGAGGTTGCAGTTCGGATGAATAAATCTCCATTAAGATTTCGGAGTTTACAAGGTAGTAGTGTTTGGTGTAGTGACTCCGCACGCCCATGCAGCTGTTGCAGCTAGTAGTAATTCCTCATGCTCTCCCGCCGGCAATATCTTGGCCTAATCTATACCCGCCGACCTTGTCCCATTCGACCTTTTGCCGGGTTATGGGCAGCTGGCGCCGGAGACCCTTGAACGCGCCCTCAGCCAGCCTGCCAAACGCCCCGTTCAGCTCTTCTTGGTGCTCCCGCTCGACAGCGGCGATGCGTCGGACAATGGTATCCGCCGAGAGACTCGGCTGGATGGGCACAGATACAGGCTTTGTATTGCTCAGCGACACGTTTCCGTCTTCGTAGTAATGCACATCCACATGCAGCTTTCCCGTCATCGTGGCTGGTGAGGACACAGGTACGTGGTAGATGGCACGGTACCGGCCATTCCAGAAGTTATTGGGCGAGTATTTGTTGGCGACGAGCAAGATTGTGATGGCGAAGTCGTCGGCGCTGGGGTAAACCCCGTATGAACTAAAGGAGAAGTGCTCACGTACATGCGGGGAGAGCGCGCGAAGGATGGATTTGCTAGCTCGCGAACTCACGTTAGCAACGTGTAAAGGTGACAGGCCGCCTATCCGACCGGGATGCCTGGGTTCAACGTACATGAGCTCCGAGTTCTGGGACTCGAGAGGGTGGGATTGGGGGGCAGAAGCGGTCTATTATTCGCAAAATTCAGGGGAGCGCCCATCAGCACAACGGCCCTCAGCTCACCCGTGGGGGGGCCGCGAGAACACTTGCCTGGGTGACATGGTCAAACTCAAAAGACGATTCACTCCCGGGGTCGAAATATCGGCCGTTGTCCAGCTTGTTATACTCGCTCACGATCACCTGCACGCGCGCGCCGAGCAGCGCATCAGCACCCGCGTTGTGTCCCAGGATGCAACACAGAGACATCACCTACCTCCTGGCTTCCACCTGGCAGCTTCGTAGTCGCCAATTGCGTCTCGTTGTAGGCCTGGAAGGCGGGCTCGAGCGAAGAAACCAGGTTGGGCGAGTGCGAAGTCAGGGCCTTGATATCTGTCGCACCGAGAGGTCAGAACAAGCAGCGCCGCATCCCGGGTGTAGCTGGCGGCGGAGAAGAGCACAAACGAGCATAGGACGCAAACAGGCGGGTGTAGAGGGATGTAGTACCTGCAACGACATCGTTGAGCTATGCGGGATTAGCAGGCGGACGGCACGGGGAAACAGCGTGGGCGCAGCGTACCTCTCCAGGCGGGGCGCCTTGAACAAAAGACGACGCAATCTCGATGTTGGAAGGCATTGGCGCGGCATCGACAGGCGGTGCGGCAGCGGCAAGTGGTGGTGGGAGGTTGTCTGAGCGTCCCAGCGGCCGTGACGGCCGGCGAGAGCGATGGCGATGCGGGGGCGGATGCCAAGCACAGGTTGGAGGTAGTTAGTTAACTATGCAACGCGTCGCTTCAAGCGGTCTATCTACCTTATTCTGTAGTTATGTATGTACACACCCGCCACCGTCGCTTTTCTGCTGGACATTCACGTCACTATATACACAAACACCCCGTCTGCGGCTCTTCAGCTGCCCAGAAAAGAAAAAACAGGCATCAATTCCACATCTCGCCGCCCAGCCATCCATCTTTACCCCCGGGCTGGCATCTCCTTTGCCATGGCTGCAAACAGAGCCTTGACACCATCCCATGCCTCCTTGCCGCTATCTAAAATCTGGTCTGGTGGAAGGAAGAAGCCATAGCGACCTCGATCACGCAGTTCAGGCGCGAAGGGATACGTGATATTTGCAACGTCATTGGCCCAGTCGGCACTGTCTCCACTGATTGGGTAGATGGTCTTGCATGTTGTGCCAACCCTCAGAGTGGTGTTGAAGGGGGCTGCGAATGCATCTGCAAAAACCTGTGCAAGCTCGAGTTGTTTCTTCGAGTTTGCTGGGACCTTGTCGCAGTTGTAGGCATAGGCTTAACCGACAAGTCAGCCGTTAGCAATGGACCGAACGCGGCAAGGAACGCAGACATCAGAGGACTTACGAGTCATAAACAGTTGACCATAGGAGTGCCAATCAATGTATGATATGAGACCAGCGGGCTTCTTGGCCAAGTCTAACATGAATTCCGTTTGAATCTTGACCTCTGTTGCAGAGCCTGCGCTGGGTCCTGTTGTACGGATTAGCGGCTGCTCCGCCCCATGTCAAAGGAACTTGTGACAGTCGTTTACATACCCCGGTATGAGTCACTGCATGGGTCGGTAGATGAATGTGTGCCATTCCAATAGGCTGGGTAGTTACGGTTAGGGTCAGTTCCGATGCACTTTGGGTCTGGCGTGGGCTGGCGATTCTTGCGCCAGTTTCTGTGCTCCCTAGCTAGCGACTTTTGCGTAAAAACGAAGCCTAACATTATGACGTTAGTATTCCATACTAAGCTGTCGACGCACGGGCTTACCATCCGGGTTGGTGACGGGGAATATAAAGAAGTCAAAATTGTCGAGAGTGGCTGTTCCTTTGACCTCAGTTGTTTCCTCAAGCAATTTCACCATTGTGTATTCAACTACCTAGAGTAAAGTGTAAGACGCTGTAGAACACCATTGAAGCCAAAATGGATTTAGCTGCAGGAAGAGACTGTTACCATTGTGGTGATCCATTCGCGGGCATGGATGGTCCCGTGAAACACGACAGCGGGCTTTCCTTTCTGTTTGCCCCACAAGTGGAGAGCTCGAACATCACGGCCTTCATAGGACTTACCTGCCACCACGATCGCTGAGTTTTTGGGGTACTTTTTCTGTAGGTGATGGAGGTATTTTTCGTGGTCGTGATAGGTGTGGTAAGACTTGTACCAGGGACCGGTGGAGCTGAGGTCTAGAGGAGGGAGTTCCGGTCAGTCCAAATTTACGAGACGATCTGGCCCAAATCAGAGCCGTTCTCACCTTTGTTTGGAAAGTGGTCAGTCATGCCAGCCGCTTCGGCCTTGATGGAGGCATCCATGTCCTCATGCATGACCTGTACTTCCATGTCCTTGGTGGCGGCCTGGAAGGCCGAGGCCTGCTCCGGCGACACGATGACATCCGCATTGAGGCCTGCTTTGTCGGGAAACTTCCAGCATTCGAGATCCAAGTCCTTGATCGTCTGCACTATTTTGGCATGATTGTTAGGGTTGGTCGGGACGCGGATAACTCTGGTAGCAGGTGAGGCTGGAACGGCAGCGGCAAGGGCCGAGGCCACAAAAGCAGAAACAGCCAAAAGCGACTTCATACCGCCCCGATATGATACAGCAAAGGAGAATGCCCAATGATGCAACGTGCAAAGTCACAGATATTGCGAGAATCCCCGCCCAAACCGTGGAAGCATCATCTGGTATATAAGCCCAGGGTTCCGGCCCACCCCATGCAGCTTGGCCGGTTTCATGGGAGATACACAAGAACGAAGACGCGTCCCAGAGGGGGAATTACCTTGGGACGAGAGCCGCCAACGAGTCAGCGACAGCAACAGAGAGGCTTGGGGGGCATGGATGGGAAGGGAACGCCGCTGGAATCCAGTTTTCAAGCGCTCAGCGAGCCAGTTTAAGGCGGGATTGACATAGTGCGCTGTAACCCCAAACAACCCAAGACGCCATGGGCGCATGCTAGATGTCGGATGTCCGAAAGAGCGGATGAGCCAACTCCAACAACGGCGAGCCAGACTGAGTTAAGTAGTTAACTAGGCGATCAACTAGTTAGTCAACTAGCTGACTGCCTACGGAAGAGGTAGTTAGTTAGTTAATCATGCGAGCAGATGTTGGGACAGGCAGCTAGTTAGCTCAGTAGGCAGATGAGTACCGGCAGTTCGAAACAAAGCAGCCATGAAAGCGGCCACAGCTGCCTCCATAAAACCGAAACTCGCTGCTTGCCTGCCAGCAGCGGGTGGTGCGGTTGGAGTGCCGTCGTGCCGTGGTTAATTCCTGGCGCCCAGCACGCGCGGCTTGGCTGGCGTCGACTCTTTGGTTACATCCGCCGAGGCCGACAAGAACGCAGGTCGAGGATCAGCCCTGGAGTCTTCTCGCCTACGTTCTTGAGCCCCGAGAGGGGATGCTGAGAGCGGGATCAGGATACCACGTCGCGCCGGCCGCCTGAGGTCGTGCAGCCCGCTCGAAACCCGCCGGGTTCTTCTGGCTGGCTTCGAGAATCAGCCGCCATGGATCGGCGCCCGTCGTCAGGGCCCCCGACGGGTGGCGCATTATCGGCAAACAGGATATTATTAACTACTCGGTACCCTGCGAGTCTGCGGGCGCGAAGACCCTGAGGCCGAAGCCAAACGCCACGCCGATGGAAACGCTCGGTCCTGGCCGTATAATAATAATATAACTAACCAACGACGATAGCACCCTGATCATAAAAGAAGAAGAAACGATATCGAGGGACACGGACGCCCTTAACGAGCAGCCCAGTACCCGGGCGATTCGGATCAGCTGCCGTGCCGACCCTACCCAGGCGATCGACGGGCCGGATCAGTGCTGAAATTGCGGATAATTTTTCACAAAGCCTCCGTGCAACCAACGAACGAGACCAGCGGAAACAATCCCTGCGAGGGAGCCTCCCGCTGCCATTACTCCGTATATCCTGTAAGAATGCATCCGCAGATAGAGCATTATTACATATTAGGGTCATGATCATCAGAACACAGGCTGCGGCATAGTGTAGGTCAAGCCAAGCGTCTGCCGTATGGCGGAGCCTCTCATTCGGCAAAAAATAGATTAAAGCACCAGCAGTCGGTCATCTTGGGCTAACATACACGCTTGCCGAGGAACGACTCCACATGGCTTCGAAGATCGGTGCATAATTAGGGGCGTAAAGCTTCTTGTGGCACTTTGGTGATACACATCGCCGGGCTGTGTGGTTTTTGTTGACGACGCTGGACAACGCCTACCCATCCGACGCTCTGACCTAAGCTAGCACTTCCTTCGCGAATTCAATATTGATGAAGCAGCATTGCTCCAGAACTAGTCAACGGTGGCGGCCCAACTGGGAGAGAGCCATTTTGGATTTGATACAAAACAAACTATTCATTGACGTCGAATCTGGCCTAGGACTTCCCATACCCACACCCTGAAATTGTACATTCACAGGGGATCCCCGAAGAAAGCCGTGGCCCTTGTCCTTGATATATCAGCAGTTTGGAAACATCATTTGATGTTGATCGCTGTCAGTACTATTATTGTTTTGATGTCAGGGTGTGAATTATCGCTCAGTTTCGGAATCGCGCGTGACTCCATTCACCGTTTTGCAAGGGTATCGTGGTCCCTCTGACCTCTGAGATTCATGGCCAATCAAATATGATACTGCTCTTAACTGACTGATCGTTTGATCTTCTGAATTTCCAAGCGCTTCTGTGGCGATGCTAATCAGAGTTCGTTTCCGCTAGCAAGGAAACATTGAGATCAAACTCCTGGGGCTTTGCAGGTATTTTGTCAAGCCAAGATGGAAACACGATATCTTGGGAGCTGTGATGATACCATTCTCAGGGAGAATTGAACTGTCATTTTACCGCCCCAGCGGGCAAACCGCACCCCACCGTCTCGGCTTACGAGCTAATGGATGACTTGGATATTTCTGCTGTTTCTTGTGCATTGATATGATGATTGATGGATATATAAAGTCGTGATCCCCCTCCGTGAATGGAACTGTCTCCCAACAATCCAGACAGCAGTGCAGTCGTTCTCAAGACGGTTTTCGGCACCATGGTTTTCTTCAGCAAAGTCTTTCCCCTCGCCCTGGTGGCTCTCTCTGTTAATGGAGCAGAGATCCTTTCCGCCCCGGCTGGTGCCGAAGTCATTAAAAACTCCTATATTGTCGTGATGAAGGATGATGTCTCGAGTCAGGATTTTGATTCTCACCGTGACTGGGTTGCCAACATCCACCACGAACGCCTTGCTCGCCGTGGCTCCACCGACGTCGGCGGAATGCGCTTCACCTATAAGTTTGACGGTGCGTTGAAAGCTTATGCTGGTAGCTTCGACAAAGAGACCATTCAAGAAATTGCAAAACGACCCAATGTACGAATACCCCAACAGCGGTTGGAAAGCACAAAATACTGACAGTTGATACTCAGGTTGCATACATTGAACGTGATCAGGTCGTAACAGCCTCGGCGGTCGTTACTCAGCGAAATGCCCCATGGGGACTTGGCCGTGTCTCCAACAGGCGCCCTGGCGTTAGCGACTACCGCTATGATGACAGCGCAGGTCAAGGCGTCACTGCCTATATCGTCGACACTGGTATTGATGTCAATCACCCCGACTTCCGTGGCCGTGCTACTTGGGGTACCAATACCGTTGATAGCATTAACCGGGACTGCAATGGTCACGGCACTCACTGCGCTGGTACTGTTGCCGGCACCACATATGGCATCGCCAAGAATGCTAGGCTTGTTGCCGTCAAGGTCCTTGATTGCAATGGCAGTGGAAGCACCTCCGCCATCATGAGAGGTTTGGAATGGGCTGTTCAGCACGCTCGCAGCAACGGCGGAGCTGGAAGAGCCGTTATGAACATGAGTTTGGGTGGATCGTTTTCTCAAGCGTCTAATGCTGCCGCCGCAGCGGTTGTCAGGGCTGGAATATTCCTTGCTGTCGCCGCTGGCAACTCCAACGTAAGCGAAAGATAGATGGTGTATCCTCAAGCAATCGAGCTAACAAATTCTTAGCGAGATACTCGTGGCTTTTCTCCGGCCTCTGAACCCACTGTTTGCACAATTGCTGCTTCTAATATCCGCGACCAGAAGGCTTCATTCTCAAACTGGGGTAGCCTCAGTGAGTCAATCACCACCCAAAACCTAATTTGTTAGTGCTAACAGCCTCCCAGTTGATGTCTACGCTCCTGGCCAGGATGTCCTATCCGCCAGACCAGGAGGTGGCACTGCCACCCTATCTGGTACCTCCATGGCCGCTCCTCACGTCGCTGGTCTTGGTGCTTATCTCATGGGTCTCGGCGCCACTGGCGGTGGCCCTCTCTGCGACCGCATTAAGCAATTGTCCTACGGTGCTATCTCCAACCCTGGAACCAGTACGACTAACCGCATTATCTTCAACGGTGTCCAGTAGACATTTAACTCCATTCACGGGATGAAGGAGGATGGAACCTCGGTGTTTAAAGAAAGAGCCAAGTCAATAAATCTTAAAACAAGTTTTAATCCCGCCGGGAGGGTCCTCCTTGACCGTGTCAGGCGTTAGATTTCTTTTCTTATTTTGTCAGTGACAGGATATTACCTTGAAACTGTATATATTGAAATATGTCTTTGAAGACATTATATATTTTTATCTTGCTCTCAAATCCAATTGCCTTATCAGCGCACGTTGTCTTTTCGAAGCATGTAGGTTTGGTTTCTCTTTTTTAACATTGAACAAATCAGCAAAGAAAATAAAGGGTTTGTTACCTGAGTTTCAATAGATGTCCACGAATGAAGATCATTGGGGGTGAGGGTTAAGTCTTGGTAACTACTCCGTAGTTCCGTCTAGCTAAGAGTAATCAGTCTACTCCGTACAAAGCAGGCTCAGCCACTAATCAATGCTCATGTTCATAAATCCCTCATTGGTTTCCGTCATACCCTGCAAGCCAACTCTTTTCATAGGTTGCGCACTCGTCGTATTTTGGGCTGAAGTGGCGCAAAATTTTGCTTTCGGTAACTGGCCACCGGTCTGATTGTGATCAGGAAATGAGAATGCCAGGGTTTGGCTCGGGCTACTTTGAGTGCTGGTTCCGGGAGATACAGCACGGCGCTTGAAAGACGCGAGGTCAAGGTCAAGATCATCCACTCGACGTCGCTTATTGAGCCGCTGAGACAGTTCACTTGCAGCTTGTGACAACACGGTTCGAGGTGTAAGCGACCGTCGTTGTATTAGTATGGGATCCGCTTCAGAAGAACGTGATGTCTCGATCCCCGGTGGATTTTTGATTATTGATGTCTCACTAGAAGCCAAGCGTGGGTTGTAGGTCGAAGGAGGGGGAGTCTGGTAGCGACGATCAAAGGAGTCCCAAAATTGTGCACCGCCGGAATTTTCCGAAGCCTGCTGGCTGAAATTAGCGGACACGATACCGTTACCTACATCACCACCTGCTGGCCTATCCTCCGTATCAGAGGCAAGGGGCAATGGGGAGGCAAGTAACCGCGAAGACAAGGGCGAAGCCGCAGTATCATCACTTTCCCGTACTTGTCGAATCACTTCAGCCTCCTTCTTCGCTTCACTCTCAATAGGGGCGCCTTCTTCCATGAGCGTAGCTTTGATTCTTGCAAAGTTTTTCGTTTTGGGCTAAAAGGACTCGTTAAAGAGATGAACAGGCAAGAAACAACTCGTTGCGGCCTTACCAATAGGTTTCCACGTCGCGTAACGGCTCGACGTATAACACCCCTTCGGCTAATGTCGGGGCTCGAGTTTCCGCCGACTACCGCAACGACTGAGCTGCTTGATGCTCGTCTGGTATCGCTATCATCGCTTAAATCAGATAAATGTAGATCACTGGTTCCAAGGCTCAAGCTTTCCCGGCGCGACTTTACATCAGCAATAATGGCTTCCTTGGAAAAATACCCAGAAGGGAAAGTTTCCAGATTTTTCACCACAGGGGGAGATTTCGGCCCAGGGCTTGGTCTCGAACTGTGACCACTTGTGCTCGTCGAGCTATACCTTGTCCGACTGCGGTACCGCGCCCTCTGAAAACTCATGAGACTTGGCTTTGTAATGCCAGTAGAGCTCGATCCCGAGTTTGGGGACATGGTGTTTAGCAGATTATGTATCGTTTTATTGGCCTGGGGCGTTGTTAAAATAGATTCGCACCGTTCCCCAGCAAGGGGAGACGCATCATCGTCATCCTCGCTACAGGTCGAAGAATCCGAGTCCAGCATATTAATACTGCTCACCGAACCTGATACGACATTTCTGTCTGCATGACTCGGAGCGGCCCAGATGTGACCAAGAGAATTGTTTGGAGAAACGAAACCAAAGCCGTTCCCAGCACGACGCTGTGGAATTGTCACCCCCCGCCCACCCACAACTGGTGAAGAGTCAGGCGAAGCTTCGGCTAGCGTTGAGTGGTGAAGATTTGTAGAAGCTCTTGAGAAGTCCAATCCACGCGATCGTCGAGGTAAAACGGAGGAGGGTGAAGTATAAATCTGGGTAGAGTCTAGTTTTGGAGAGGAGGGCTGACGACTTAAGGAGGTAGGCTGTGGGTGTAATAGCTTCTGAGGCACATGAAGAGAAAGGCCATGGCCTAAGCGATGATCCTGTTGCGGTGTCGCAGGGGTCGCAATGCCTGTAGTGTCGTTACAGCTGTCAAAGGGCAGCAGCTGAAGCGGTGTTGAACAGCGCGAAGGTTCAGTGTGATCTTCAGAGTTTTGGAGGGGGTTGGCTGCAGATGCGGGGGAAACAATTTCCAAAGGCGCACACATGGACGGACTATTCACTTGGCTATGGGGCAGCTTCAACTGTGCCGCCAGGTGGCTAGGCTCTGTTGAGTCTCGCATGTCAGACGTAGATTGCGTTGATTTCATATTATTATGATTTTACTGGTAAGATGAAGAGCAAGAGGTAGGTGGAAAAAGCAGTCGATGTAAAGGGCATTGTTTTCAGTGCTTGAAATTGACCTTCTTTGTTCAGTAGCTTGCGAATACCAGGTCGGTGTGTTGGGGAAGCAAAGGGAGAGCCCGCACCCTATCGGTGCGTTAACCTCGTCACCGACGAAATCATTGCGAGTAACGGGACACGGGTGGTTGAGGGTGGTTGTGGTCGTCTTGATAAGGTTGGCCATGACGAAATACCCGTAGTTAGTTAGCTAACGTTATCTAACTCCTATCCACAGCCTTGGTAAGAGCCATAGTACTCCGTATTTTGATCTAATCATTTGCCAGGTTTGATAGTCTCCTTGGGTTGCCATATTTGTTTCTTAATTAATAACATCATTTCATACGCGACTACTCCGTACACCCTACATATATAAGTTTGTAGTATCTTTGCAGGATGTGACCCAGAAGCCATGTTTTAGATTTACAGAACAAGTACGGAGTAGCAGGCTGAGTTTATTATAGGCTAGTCGCAGGCGTGATGAGTGATTTGTTTCCTATAGAAAGTATGTAAAGGAGAGATGAGAGCCCGATTCCCTCGTATTTAGGGAGCGAAAATGTAGTAGGATATGACGTAAGATAAGATGTGTCTCTCCTGTATACCATTTCCCTTCAACCAGCCTAAGCTGTTTTTTCAATATCACGGCCTATCAGGACAGAAAAAAACCCACTATGCCAAGTTAACCTCTACCTGTGCATAGGATTTATTAGGACATGACGGTGCCCAAAAACTACGAGATATTTTGGCAGACCGAGCAGCTTTAACATCTTTATTGGGACGTTCCCTACCAGGTATAGTACCATTTATGTTACTCTATATATTGTATTGTTGATGACTTCTTGAAGAGTCAACGCTCGAGGCTCTGCTAAACCTATGGGTTTGAGATCTTTTATGAGACACCTGGATCCTTTCCAAATATTCCAAGCAAGATATGAAATTCCATCAGTTTATATTAGTATTAACAATACTTGAATGGCCAGTTAATGTCAATGCCCCTCTAACCGTAGTCTGCTAGGGTATTAAAAGATGTCAATTCATGCATGGACAAAGAAACACATAGAAAGGGCCCTACAGGCTAAGCAGGCGGGATCGGGATTTCTATCAATCAACTGTAACGATAGCGGTATATTAATGCTGTGAGTCTGGAGATAGATCTCGCAATTGATAGTGTGATCCAGGATGTTGCGATCCAGCCGGATCGTAGAGCCGCTGTTCTTCATCCTCTAGACCAGGGTGAATTCCACTCGTAGCGGTAAAGCCGCCGTCTGGGGTTGGATAAGGTATATCGCAATCAATCGATTTCAAAGAAGGATAGTATCGCCGATACGTAAAATACGCCATGGAAAGTCCCAGTAATGCTCCGCATGTGACATCATAAACATCATGACGATAATCAGCTAGCCGTGACATCGCAATCATAAGCGCCCCTAGGAGAGGAGACACAAAGAAGATGAAACGGGCTATGCCAGAACGGGGCCGAAAGACATGCAACTGTCCAGCAAAAAAACTGACCTCGAGCATTAACAGAGAGATTCGATAAAACAGGGCAGAAGGCTGAAACATACAAGGAAAGATACCCGAGTCCGCCAAATGCAAAACTACTGTGACCACTTGGAAAACTCCTCCATCCTTCGTGGAGAACGTGATGACTGCTCTCTAGACATACGGTGAACGATACGAGAGCGTGCTCCGGAGTTCCTTTTTCAGGTTTACACCTGTCGAGCAAGTCTGGTCGCGGGCGTCCTACAGCGTTTTTAATGATATCGGTTAAGAACGTGGTTATAATGAGAGTTGCGAAAAGCCCTAGTATTGTTACATGTGTGAAATGAGACTCGGAACGAGTGGCCATGGACCACATAGCAATTATCCCAAGAGGGACGACGCCAGCATAGATAACCGCCCACACTATCCATGTCAATCCAGGGCAAACGATGCGAGAAGCAGGGGGGATGATGTGTATTGCTTACAGACTGGGACTCGTTCAACAACTGCAAAAGGAAATTGAATCGAACCATTGTCCAGGGAGAACATTCGATGGAAGGGTTCTATGAATATCTGGATCTATTGATGGCGTCTGGTTAGAAAATAGGTGGCAGTAGAGTAAAGAAAAGTCAAGGGAGAACATTACCAATAGCCATCCTACAATCAGAATACAAAGGCAGATATAGTCCGCGGCATATGAGCGATACCAAAATCTAGCAATTGCTCCTAAAAAGCCAGGTCTTGTGGAAATCGCAGAAAGCTTCAGGCTACGAGTAGTTGTACGGCCATTTTGAACCATTTTTCCAAGATAAATATTAGGAGCGTTGCCAGAGCCGAATCTTAAAACGTCCCATTTCGGAGAATGGGCACAAACAATGTGTCGGGACGGCTGCCGTGGACGTGATGTTATTTAAAATCAGCACGGAACTCCCCTATCTGGCATTGACCTAATTAACTAATATCAGACGAAACAGGAGCACGTGATGATCATGTGACTGAGAGTCTAATATTGCGTCTGGTCTGTTCCTAACGAACAAGACACCAGTACTTATAGATGAACATACTATAACCAAGGCTACAGGAAAAAACATATGAAAAACCCCTAGCAAACCTCTGCCAGCTCAATAGTCAAAGATAATGAAATTGCTACCATGGTCAAGAAGAGGAGGTGGCCAACCTACGGTTCTCCAGTTCCTCCTTCAGAGACCTGGTCACCTGACAAGTCACCTGACTCCTGCTCAACAACTAACGAACTAACTAGATGACTAAGCACGCGCAGTCTTCGTTCTCCGTAGTCCATACGGGCTGCGGTACTCCGTAAAGTGTACAAAGTACTAGCATCGAGGGTGAAAGCACAAAAAACAACGTGCGTCTTAGAAGCAAGATGGAAGAAAGAGTGCACCAAAAGGGAATTACGGCTGCATTCCCTCCCCCACCACCCTTTTGGACGCATTTTACTCCATCTAACCTCGAAAAGCTCGAAGAGACGAAGCGGGACGCGGTATTACACAACGCGAAGGGCGACCGACATGGCTTGAATCCCGAAGATCTCCGTGCTCTTGACTTACCGACAGAGCTTCGCTACCTTGTGCCCCCAAAGCCACCGAATGAAGGGCAATATTCTCTTTTTAGTGAATTGCAGTCGGTATCGCTTTCCCTACTCCAGCCCGTTGATTTTTACCTAACCTATCTACAGCTATCAACTAGCCTTCCATCGCTCCAACAACAAGGAATTGAACAACTTTATCCCTCTGACCTTACGGACGAAACCACTGGGCGATCATCAAGACACGCATATTATCTCTTAAAGATCAGCAAATCCCTTCTGCTCAACTTCCTCGAGCTGGTCGGCATTTTGTCACTCTGCCCTGATCAATATGAGCCTAAGCTTGATGATATTAGGAATCTGTTTATCAATGCACATCATCTGCTGAATTCATATCGGCCTCATCAATCCAGAGAATCGCTTATCGCCATGATGGAAGAACAACTGGAGAGGGCTAAAGAGGAAATCCAAGAAATGGACCAGATGAAAACTCGTGCGGAGATGTATTTGCGAGATTTGGAAATGGAAGGCCACAGTGCGTCACACGGTGTGGCTGTGACCAAGACTATGGAGCAAGAAGCCGACAGTATTCAACCAAAACAATCTGAACATCGTGAAAACACGGCCCATGCAATGTGGGAACTTTTGGATGAAATAGAATGAGGTTGCGCTGCTTTTCAGCGGACTTATTATATTTATGACCCCAAGCATATTTATCCACTCCTTAACTGGATTCCATGGTGCCGCAACGAAATCCCATAAAACGAGAAGCGATGCCCTTTCTAGTGAATCTGCCGCTCAGGAGTTCGCCCGTCGTCTTATTACGAGTTTCATGGTCCCGAGGGCTTGGCGCATTAGCTAACTAACTACCTAACTAGTGGTTACTAAGCGAAAGTATAAAAGCCGAAGCTGCACAATGTTTTCTTCAAGAACCGAAACCAGCCATTCCAGCATCCGGCCATACTGGCCATGCAAACAGTTCTTGGTAATATAAGTGTATAGGTATGTCGTATTTTTTTTAACCTCCAGCCTTTCTATGATGATTGATGCTTTATCAATATGTTTCAACCCCATATGAAAGCAAATTCTTGCTTCTTGATTTCAAATGCATCTATATATATCTGACCTCATGCAAACCCTCTAATATGGCCTCAAACTATCGTCACTTTTTTGTCAAGGGGACAGTGTTACTAACAGCAGAGCAGTGTACCAATTTCAGGACTTCACTTCTTACCCGAAACGGTCCCATTAGACTCCTTAAGGGCATCTGTTGATAGTTGGCAATGAAGTTCTACCCACCGAGTACGGATTTATCGTGGTATTTGCCAATAGCTGGACTACTATGAATTCAACTTCTGGCGGCATTTTATCTTGTGTTTCGTATAGAACCTTGGTATTCTTGATCTAAAGACTGTCATGACACTGAAAACCGCATCATAACGTTCGGGATGTAGAATTCTGATGCAGCTATTTCATCTTTGCGATACGCAACTTGCCCATAGGCTTGAGCTGTAAAAGCAAAGAATAATTCAGGGGGGTATGTGACTATTGATTGGAAAGCAGATCCTAGCCAGTATTTATTGCCTCAGAACAAATAGACAATTCTCCCAACACATCGCCCTTCATTTCTCTTCACATCACAGTACAAATCATACAATCGCAGTCTTCGTCGCCGCATCCGCAGCCAAAACAGGGTTTTGCCACTCCTTTGATAGGTCTCGTAACGGTCGATGATGCCGAAGAACCAGAGGAGGTAGGTAGAGTCTGGTCGACGAGGACCCGGTCTTCTCTGGCAGTCATGTTCGAGGTGTTTAGGGACTTTTGATGCGACGCCCGATGAGAAGAGGATATTGATATCTGAGTTAATTAGCAGCTAAACGTACCGCGTTTTCTGCCTCAGGACCTTACGCTTTTCGACTCGTGGATGCGTCAACGTTTCATTCCTGGCAGAGGCGGGCGGTGGGTTCGCAGTGCAGCTGGAGTCTTTTATAGACAGACGATCAGCCCCTCAAGCCACCAGGCGATTGCGTTGCCTTCACACCAAACCATCCGTTAAGCGCTAGTTAGTCGTGTTTTCTAGCTCGCGATCCCTGTCGCCCACGCAATCAGACGCGGCTCGGATTGCCGTTGCCTCTTTGCGGAGTCTCACGTCTTTGTTCTATGTACAAAGCAAACGGAATACAACTTCTCCATGCCATCTGAGCCATTGAATACCTCTTCCACGTCATCTCCCTCGAATGTAGTAGCGATCTTTCGACATAATGTTTTACTCACTTCTTATCGGAACATCAGAGTGTTGTTGTTCACTGGATCGCGAGTTTGCACGACCAATCTACGTACTTACAGCTAGCAAGAACGGGGCAACAAGCAGAGAGAGCTCGGCTCGTAAAAATAATGCCCGTACGGAGTACAGTCGCGACGTTTGTTTTGACTAAGCTCGGTACGCATTGGCCGTTTGTGACAATCTAGCCTCCTTCGCTCTTTCTCACTACTTGCTACACGAATTTCCAATTAAACTTACTCTGAGTTTATGGAACAGAAATGTTGGAGCTTTTGCCATTCAAAGCCATGTTTGCATCTTGGGTGTTTCCATTAGATGCTCATGCATAAAGACATTAAGAGGGTCAAATCAGTCATAAAAATCATGAAACCATTTACAGCATCTTGTCAAACCAATCACTTTTTGTCAGCCCCTGTGCCAAAAAAAAACATGCGATTAACCATGATAATTCATTCAAATATCCACCAAACTGTTTAAAAATGAAAATTTTTTGCCCTATGTAGTTTATTCGAAACAGATATAGGTTATTTCCCTATCTGCTCAATGAAGGCTCCAGGACCACCGGGTTGCATTTTATTAAGCCACGATACAAGCTCAATAAGCTCTGCACGACGATCGTTTTCAAGTTGGTTGGAGTCACCCAAAAGAACGGCTTGGAAAATTGGCATCAGCCGTGCAGTGTGACTCTGGACCACAGGGTCCTCCCACTTGTCTACAAATCTGTTAGGTATACAAGTCAAGGAAGATAAAGGAGGAATGGACATACAAAGCTGGCAAATCATGCGGTATACAGGGTCATTTTCGTCGAAATCCGTCTGAAGTGGCAAAACTTCAATAATAGCAGGGATAACTTCAGCAAGTGGAACATGATCTTTATGTTTCAAGATCATCCGTGCAAGACACCCAACTGCATTATCTGGAAGTCTGGATTCATGAATGCGCAGACATGGCTCCAGCTTCTCTAATATAGTCGGGTATGCTTGGATGATTTCTTGGTCCGAATTGGACTTCTCAACCAACCGTCCGATAGCATACGTTGTATTACTTCTTGTTTGCAGATCTTCATCGGTGAGGCGTCGTAACAGTACATGCAACAATTTGCTCGTAGAAGGGGTGACGGCGTCGCCCAAGCCAGAAATAACGTCTGCAAGGACTCCGACAGCAGTGGACCTTTCCAGAGACTCACTTCCGGCTGCATATTTGAGAACAATCTTCTCAAACGTGGGCCAGAGGCCAGCGAAATCCGGGCCCAATGCAGCGGCAAGGCCGCAGATGACATCAAGGGCAGTATCGATAACGACCCAATCGAATTCGGAGAGCTCTTCTAGGGCAGCCTGGTCCTCCTCCCCTGCACCAAAATCTTGTTGGCATGGGTGCTGTTTGGTAATGATCGTGTCGACGAGAGTGACAACTTGTTCTAGGGTAGATTGATCTGCAATGATATAAGGACCACAATACCGCAAGTTTTCTGCAACATTGCGATTGATATCGGCAACAGTGGCACTAAAAATAGCAGTATATTAGCAATTTGCCAAGGATAGGATGCGTCTGTGGGAATAGTAGGGGTTAAGCCGTTGAAGAAATATCAGGTTACGTTGGAAAATCGTTTTCACATCAATCACATAGTTTTATGTGTCTGAGTGAGCTGGGATACGATGTGTGTCATCATATTCCACTGGCTTTTGGTAGAAAAATTGCGTGCATAAAAGGGGCCATTCATACCTATCCTCTTCCTCGGCCCACATTTTTATAGTCGCTGTCATCAATATTTCTCCAAATTTTTTGATCTCTCGAGGAGCTTCGGCTGGGGTTTTGCCTCGCTGCCATTTCTGAACATGGCCGGCAGACTCGGAGACTTGCCAAAGAGCAGCGTATGCGCGATGAAGAGTCGATATTGTGCTCTTTCGAACTCCTTCGTAAGGGTGTTCAGCAAGTGGCATTACATGCTCAATAGTTTTTTCAAAATAGGGCATAAAAGATTGGCCAGTATGTGTAAGAACATCGCCAATAACTTCAATAGCGATCTCCTTTTCTAGAGCAATTGGGGTGACGGTACTGAGATCTTCCCAGTCGGCCTCATCCTCGCCTTCTAGGCCATGGATGACATCGTCATCGTCATCGGCATCTGCAACCCGGACTTTATGGCCCGCTATGGTGACTTCTTGGCCGATGAGATCGCGAGCCGCGTCTCCAAGAGAGACTTCCAAATCATTGTCTTCTTGCTCTAGACAAGCCAAGAGCCCCCCAACAACGCCGTTGAGATAGGGGGTGAAATCTTCACCATAAACTTTTGACATGGCACCCCAAAAGATGTATGTGCTTTCTTTTAGGCGAGAATGCTCAAGACGTAGAGCTTCTTCGCTAGCTTGCATTAAAGGTCCAACATAATTCTTATAACGCTCGGGTCCGGCTGAGGCAGACATTTCTCCCATAGCATCCGTGACACTAGCTCGAAGCTCAAGTTCCTCTTCACTGTCCTTTAGAGTCGCAAATTCCTGCATAATGTGCATGGATTCATCAAAGAATGGCAAAAATGCCTCGCCAGCAGAAGAAGCAATCGAACCCAAGGCGCTGGCAGAAAGAGCTTTGATTTTGGAATCCGGATGTTGAAAAAGCTTCTGCAAGATAGGAACGAGTTCCGACTGATATTGGGCAACATCCTTCTCATCAAGAGCATCGACAACTGCGTCAATAGCGGCAACACTTGCTTTGATTATATCAATTGTGATACCTGTTTCCTCGCCTTTGTACTCTTGCATAGAGCTAGCTAGATTCTGCGACAACAATGGCATTAATTGTTGATGTTGTTTGCTCACATCCTCAGCTAGATCATCTGCAATCCGTGCAACTCCATGTAAAGTAGCTTGGCGAACTTTGGGCTCAGGGTCGGAGAGCATCTGCAAAACGACGGGAAAGATTTCCTTCATTTGTGTGCTGATAAAATCCGGAGCTCCTTCAACACACATCCCAAGAGCCATGATACCTGCTCGCCGGTAGTCCGGGTTGGAATTGTTGAAGTATTGACCCAGAGATTTCAGAAGAGGAACAACGACCTGGCTAGGGGGCAAAAATTGAGCCAGCATGTCCAAGAGGCCGAGGGCAGATCTAGCGGGAGTAATTTCGTCAACATCGTCATCGCCAAGTTCAGTAGCAATTTGAAGGGCAGTACGGGTCAACTGCTCCCCCAGTTGCATTCCCTGCATCTTGAGTTTCCGATACCTGAGGCATTGCATAAGAAAGCTGATAGCTTGGGTTCTGGTTTCACTGGCCAACTCGGTATTTGCGGCCAGCTGATTCATGAACAAAACCAAGTCCTTTAAGTGGGGGTTGAGCAGTTGTGGTTCGCATCCAAGTAAGGCCTGGAAAACCTCAAAAGCTTGCATAGTTCTGTCTTCATCTTCCTGATCAACGACATCCTTCAAAACAGCCACCATGGCGGGGAAAATAGCTTGGAATGCCTTCACGGCGTCCATATCCTCATCTGAGTCGAGATGCATGGCAAGTTTGCTGAGAGAAAGAAGGGTATTAATGCGGACCTCGACACTTTCGGGGTCGCGAATCGTCTTCTCGAATAGCTGTATAAGGTCCACGAATTTACTTTGAAAGCCCTCTCCTAGCGTCTCCAAAATTGTGAACAGAATGTACATCCCCACAGCACGAACTTCTTTCGAGGTGTCAGTCGCGGCTCGAAGAAGCCACTGAGGTAGATCCGCCCACTGGCCATCTTGGAGATCTATATTGGCGATCGCGGAAATGACTCTAGCTCCAGAATGTCGAACAAGAGGTGTTTGCTCTTCGAGTGTGGCACGAAGTAGCTGATCCCGGATTTGTGGCTTTTGCTGATCGGAGATTTTGAGCCAGTGTTTCGAGACCAAAGACCGAGCTTCAACTGCAGCGAGCTGTTTCAAATCGGCATTATTGTGGGAAGTAAACATCTGAATGAGAAAAAGAAGGGCTTCAGGATGAGGGTAAAATTCCTTTTGGAGCGTGGCTGTGGCATCTTTGACATTGCCCTGGCTGGCTGGATTGGATAGCAGATGTTAGCAAAGGACATCATTTTCTTAGCGCAAGCAAAGTTAGAAAAAAATGTCTGGCTTGAATTGGAAAGGCGATGGACTGACGATTCAAGATAATCTGTAGTTGCTGCAGAAACCGTTCTTGGTCCATGGCGGACAGAAGTTAGCACTCTCAAGTGCTCTCACTACCAGGCGGAGGCCAGATAGGTCAAGCCAAAGTGTTTCCAAAGCCTAACTGTTGAGCCCAAGGTTTCGAGAAGGGAGCGAGGACGGTTGAATATGGCACTGAGGTTGAGAAGAAGGAATGTTTGTTAAGGAAAAATTTGCGGCGGGAAAATTAAATGAAGTGGGGAGTTGGGCCGCTAGTTTACGCTAATTAGTTTAACTAACTTAACTAACTAACTAACTAACTAAAATTGGGCCAGCACACACACACACACACACACACACAGAGAGAGAGAGACAACGCGGACGTCGCTGGTTTAATGGTTGTGTATGCCACTACAGAAGAAGGCAATACTCAAATATATGCACATATAATCCAACGCCTTGAGCCTAAAGTCCAGGGTCTATATAGCCGAAATAAAGCAGTCTCGACTCGGGGGCGATAAGAATGAAAATAGTGAGTCCAAACATAGTAGGTTAACCAGTTGTAAAGTCCCAGAATACGCCACGACTCCTGGATATCCGTTATTTAGTAATCGTCAGAATCGTAGTCATTATCTGGTAGCAAGGAGCGATATCTCCGCGCAGCTAGGTCTTCCTCGAGACTGCCATCGGATTCAGGGTCAATATAACCTGGCAAATGTTAGCTTTGATGTGTGTATACTTAGAACATAGTAAAGAGGAAGTACTACCTTCTCCACCAAAAAAGCTCAGAGCCACGGGAAGGAAAATAAGGCCATGAGTCGCGGCAAATATGATCAGTGTCAGCCAGACACGAAAGTAATAAATTTCAAAAATCTTGCTTCTTGTGAACGCGAGAACACACACTCCAACGAGCTTTGTCAGTGTGATACCACTGAAAACACTTCCACCGACATTGACCAAGGCAACCCAGGCTCGCGCAGTCCGTTGTCGGAATTTCCCCTTAGCTTTGTCAAGGAGCAAGGCGGACGGGAACATGAAAGCCCGTGCAATGTGTGCACAGAATTCGATACCAATCCCAACACAGATGATAAGGTTGACGACAGAAACCGCATTTAGCGATACTCCTACGATAGCCATGGTGCCCATGATGTCGACAACCATCATAATGACCGTAAGGGTCACAACAGCCGCAGTGGCCAAGGACCCCAATAACAGCGCAGTCAGGATAAAGATGATAGCCATAGCCGACCCAAGAAGCGTCGCTGTAAGGCGAATGATGGAAGCGTATTGGTCGAAGAATATATAAAATTTAGAATATGGGAAAACATCAATGTTATGTCTTGTAGAAATGTCGTTGGCGATCCGGCGGGCAGAAGCATAGGCGTTTATGAAATCAGCCTGGCTACGAAGAGCGGTATGCGAAGCACGGAAGTGGGTAGCGGTAGTCGTGACATGTTTAGAGTCAATGACCAAAGCATTGCTATATGGGGCTTTCCCCCCCAACGGGCAGGATGCCGTGGTTGGAGATTGAACCCACATATTGGCATAGCGCACGAATTCCTGGCCTTCCGGCATGCCAAATAGGGAAATATTCCACGGGGGTTGTCTATCTTCGAAACATGTCTTTCCATCCTCAACGCAACAATCTTTTTGGGGGTTTAACCAGTAGAAAAAGTCGTCAATCCAACTAGCGGCCGATCCAGAGATGTAAGATACAGTGGGACGCTTAGATTCCTGTTCTAGAACAAACCCCAGAGAGTATTCATCACATGTCGAAAATCGTCCACACAGTTGCTGCTGATGATATCTTGCCGTCACATTGACATCTCTGGTCACAAAATAAACCGGAGGCCCAGCACCAAAATAATCGTATAGGTCATTGAAATATTGAATCAAATAGGAGTCACTAGGTATGGCAATGCGCTGGTCAAGCCCAAGCTGGAGGGTGGGTAGCAATGCTAGTCCGGCTGCGAAGAGACAAGAGAACACAAATAAGACCAGAAACCTAGATTTCCGCGTCAACAGCCCAGGCGCATAGATCTTCCGAATGAATAATTGTATGATCCCTTCTTCTTCATGGTCGAATGGTTGGTCGCCAGGGATTGGCCCTACTGTAGTTTTTCTAACCGTCAAGCAAGGGAAACAATCGACGCGAAGGCTCTCGACGCGTTTTTGATTTAGAGATAGAAGCGAGATAAACATGGTAATTTGTAATAGTGCGTTGATTAAAACTGCACCCGCGGCATAGACGGCAAAGTTCTTCACAGCGGGCATTCCGACAAATACACCCATTGAAAACGCGATGGTTTCTGTGCTCGCGGACAAAAGAATGCTAGGCCCCATCCTTCCCAGTGCTCTGGCAATGCGTTGATCGAGCTCTTCGTCCGGATGGCTGAGATTGACTCTCTCGAACTCATGAACGATTAGGAAGATATTATCAACACCGACAGCGAGTACGAGAAATGGTATCACTTCAGCGATGATTAAGGTGACCTTGACACCTAGCGCGGCGAACAAACCAACTGATGCAGACACCGACATCAAGACAATCAGGATGCCGACAATTCCAAGAGAAAATTTTGATTGTACCAAAGTGTTGGCTGGATTCCTGAATATGGACTTCCAAGTGATAGTGGTTGAACTGAGAGCCAATGATGCATAGATAAACATAATCAAGTAGCTTATAACGACAATCCTGGCATCCGTATTTGTCGTTTTGTTCAATTCTTGTTCGAGACTAATTTCAGCATTGAAAGAAACTCGTAATCCGCGCTCAATAGCCTCCTCCTGAACGACCTGAAGTACGCGTTGGAGACTGAGTTCCCAGTCAATTGCATTCGCCTCCACCTTGGTTCCTGGATTACCATTGTTAACAACCCAGGTTACAATTAACGCTCTGGCATCAAGAACATCTCCAGTATCTTCAAAGCCGCCAAGAACCATATGTGGACTCAATGGTTGCTGGAAATCGGGAAGGCAGTCACTAGATCCAGGAGATTCGGTACAATGCCTCAATTGCTTTTGCCAGTTGTCGGCATCAACATTGCTAAAAGACCCCCCGAAATAGCCTGTAATAGATTGGATGACACAAGCCTTGCCTGTGGGATTGAAACAGATATTATCAAGGGTGAGACCCTTGTTTAAAGATATCATTCGCTTCACCCTATTTTCGACATCAAACCACCAGCTCAGCGTTTCGTAGCTTAGAACAGGTCCAGGCCCATTAGGATGTGTGTCGTTTACAAGGAAGGCTTGTTCTGCCCGATAAAATGGTCCAAAGTTCGCATCAAAAAACGCCTTTTCGCGGGCTGCTGCTGACGTGGGGCTTACCCAAAGTTTGACTGGATCTTGCTCGACTGAAAAACTCAGCCATCCGAAACTAAGGATGCCAATAACAATAAGGCTTGTAGTTATAGTGAAGGCAGGGAATCGGGCGCAAAACCGCCCCAAGCGATTAAACACCCTATCCAGAATTGAATCAAGTTGATAGGTTCTGGTCGGGCGAGTAAGACACCCGGCGTTCTCAATGATATCCCCCTCGTCCTCCTCATCACTAGGGCTGGCGTCTTGTAATAACCGTACTCTCTCGATTTTCCTTTCTCGGTGTTTCCGAAATGCAATCTGGCACAAAATTCCGGAGAGGAAGATAAGAAGCCCCACGGAGTATGTCAAAATTACTGCAAATGAAAAGCAGGGTAAATAGCCAATGTGGCACGGGCTTTCAGAGGCCAAGGCTGGTAATTCAGGGCAAACTACCGGGCAGTCAATACACGAGCACCGAAATGCGCCATCTGTGTCGTTGCAAGATTTGATGATTTCGGGAAGTGCCCGCATTCCCTGGTCAATTGAACCTTTTGGTTTGGTGAGAAAATTAATCTGGAACGGACTGCCTAGCAGCTTCTTATCTCCCAAGAATTTCAAGAATTGGGTATAGTTCTTAGCTCCGCCTCCAATGAAATCCATTGCTTTCCCCCCGGAGGCACCATTTTTAACATCTTTACAGCTATTGTAAAATCCACTCTGGTATCTTTCCGACCAGACGTTCTCCAACTCCGTAACCAGCAACCTTCCCCGGACTTCTTCAATCTCAGTAACGTTGATAAATAGCGACTGGTCCGGGGAGCAGGTAAACGTGCAGAAGAGGTTGAAAAAATTCTCTTTGCAAGCAGGACATGATGCAATAATGCCCTGGGCAAGCTTTAGACTGCTGGATAGGGCATCGATCTTGGGCACGTTAGAGTCAGTAAGAATGCTTTGAGACAGCCGGGCCAGGATCATGCTCACTTGGTCATCTTCACAGCAAACTGGTCCATTCTCCCACTTGCGACCGCAAAGCGCTACCAGCTTGTCACGGACCTTCTGTTCCGGTTCCTTTGCAAGACCATTGTCTGCACATGGCAACTCTCCGCCAAAGAAGGACTTCTTCCCACAATGGCCACGGATGGCGCATCTGCCTTTTTCGTGAAGCTTTGTCTCTCCTTCAGCAACAACAAAACATCGCTGAACTACAGCCAGGCCCACCAGGAGCCCGCCAGTCAGCGAAAGGAGCATCGTAGGGGCAGACTCTCAGTGACCGAGAGTCACTGGGCCATGCAAGGCGTTATCGGATTCTGGGCTGGTAGTCGTGGACTACATACGAGTCACCCGGGCACAATACTGGGACGTGGTCGATATCCCAGCGAGCGCAAATAGCAACAACAATAGTAGTAAACAGGGACTGTATCTGACGTCGTCACCAGCCAGCTCGTCTTCCAAGAATCGCTAAGATGACATAAGTTGCTGAGTCATACGCGTCACATCACGTGCAAGCTAGGCCACAACGGGCGGCGCCTGGGCATGTCCGAGAAGGGCGAACGCAATGAAGCCCAAAATTTGAAGTCTCTCTCGTGCATCCTACCATCTCCTGCTTCTACATCCCCCGCCCTCGACACCTTGGACTTGAGACGCCTCTTTTCACACTCCGCGCTTCTTTACTAATAGTCTTCCTTTGTGTCCCTTTCCGTGCGGCCATTCTTTTGTTCAACGGTCCCCAAAGCTCGCGATTTCAGCCCTGCAATATCTTCCTTGTCTCGTATACTTACCTTTTCTCCCTTCGTTCCCTCTCACACTTCTCCTACGGAGCTCCCTACTTACTGATTCCTGTTCCTGATTCTTTCGCCCTTCCAGCCTCAAGCTATATCAAGTGATATCTCTTTCGCAACGACTCCCTCATGGCTTCTGTAAGTACTCTTCAATCTGCCCGAGCCACCTCCAGCTTTCTCATCACTTTTCTACATCATTTTTATCACTTGCTCTGTGTAAAAGCTTCATGTTTTATAATTATGACTAATAGCTTCGTCAAGCAGCCCCGTCCACCCCACACCTTTAGCAATCCTCCCTATACTCTTCCAAACGGCGCCACGAGCGGTCCAACTCCTGGAGCTACCGCATTGCTTCCGAATAATGGCAGAGTTATTCAGTCTGGCTCCGTTCGAATCTTGTGTGTTGCAGATGTTAGAGGTACGAGGTCGTGAATCTTCGGCTTAAAAATTCTCGCCATTTACCAATTTTCTAACGGCACTCAATCAGGCAACCTGAAATCCTTGAATGAGTTAGCAAAACGTGCTCAGGCAGACCATATTATTCACACTGGTGACTTTGGATTTTATGATGATACGTCTCTTGACAGGATTGCTGATAAGTATGAAGCCTCACCCCGGCGAAGCCGCGTCTACCCATCTCTTCTCCACGATTGAACCGGAAGAAGTAACAATTTTGCTCTCGTAGGACCTTGAAGCACGTCGCACAATACTCTCCACTCCTTTCAGAGTCAACTAAGCGCAGCATTGCTCAAGTACCGCCACAACAATCCATCAAGCAGCGCTTTAGCCCAGAGCAGCTTGCGCTTTCGGAGCTTCCACTTCTCCTAAACAAGCAATTTACCTTGGACGTTCCAGTTTATACTGTTTGGGGTGCCTGTGAAGATGTCCGAGTTTTGGAAAAGTTCCGTTCTGGAGAATATAAGGTCGATAAGTTGCATATTATCGATGAAGCTAATTCTAGGTTGCTTGACGTTGGCGGCGTAAAACTTCGCTTACTGGGCCTTGGTGGTGCCGTTGTTATGCACAAATTATTTGACAACGGCGAGGGGAAAACCACTATTGCAGGCGGACAAGGAACAATGTGGACGACCTTGTTACAGATGGGTGAGCTAGTTGACACTGCAAACCGCGTTTACGATCCCGCCGAAACTCGCATTTTTGTGACGCACGCATCGCCAGCTCGAGAAGGCATGCTCAATCAACTATCTGTCACCTTAAAAGCAGATTTCTCAATTTCCGCTGGTCTACATTTCCGATATGGAAGCTCCTACAATGAATTCAGCGTTAACCCAACGTTAGATCACTATCGTGGCAAGCTAGCGGCGTCAAAAGCTTCTTTCAACGACGTTTGGGATACAGTGCGTGGAGAAGTTGAAACCGCCATCAATGCCAACGACGCTCAGAAGACACTGCTTGATAATGCCCTGGATATTGTTAATAAAATGCCCAGCGTTGCTAATGGTGGTAACCCATTCGGTGGTCCGGTTACAGGCTCGAATGCTGGTGGCCAAGTTGATGAAAGTGCCTTCAAAAATATGTGGAATTTCAATCTTGCAGATGCTGCGTATGGCTATCTTGTTCTTGACGTTGAAGGTGGAAGAATCGGAACAGAAATGCGCGCTCAAGGGTTCAATTTCTCTCACCGTGGAGGAAAACCAGTGGCGGCAACTACTGCAGCTCCACTTCCACAACAGCCTACTACTGTTTCTCCTATGAGCGGTGGCGCCACCGGCCCTGTAATCGCGACCGGGACGGCTCCTAGCCAAGTAAGGCCCCCACCGCAGTTTGGTCAAATTCAAGCGCAGACTGGTCGTGGCTCTGGTCCGCAATACCAGACCCCCGCTCCTCAGCCTCAAGCGCCGTTATCGAAGCCGATTCCCGCAAAGCCAACAGCTTCTCCTGCGCCCGTGATTCCTGCAAAAGAGAAGCCGGGAACACCGCAGCCCGCTATTCCAAACCCGCCGAACACAACACAAAGCGCTTCAGCAAACCAAGGGGCGCCTGAAACCAACGGAACTGTCACTGGAGAAAAGCCGTTAGAGGCCACACCCAAACCAACACCAACCCCAGAAAAGAAACAAATAAATGGCCTTTTTATATCCAATGTTGACAATGAAGAAGCTGTCCGAAAATTATTCCCTGACGAAGATAAAGCGAAAATTGTCAAAATCGAGAAACTGGGCAAATTCAACCATGTAGTCTCCTTTTCAACTTTGGAGGACGCTAAAGCTGCACTCGAACGGCAACCTCTTGAACACAAGAGACCCGGCCCACCGGGACCGAACCGCAAACCAAATGTCAAGATGTTCGAGGAGCGTATTAGCCGTCGCGATGGCCAAGGGAATGCCGGCACATGGCAAGCAAGCAGCCGCGGCGCCGCATCTGCCGGCCAGCGCAGTGGATACCAGAGCGGAAGTGCTACCAGCGATGGTGAGGGCGGCCGAGGTCGTGGTGGCTTTAGTGGTCGAGGCCGTGGACGTGGAAATGATCGAGGCGGGCGCGGTCCTCGTGGCGGAAGAGCAGGAGGATTTGGCAAAGGCCCATCGGGAACTGGAGACTCAAGCTCCCCAACACCGACGCCAGCGGGCGGCGATAAATCAACGGAGTGATAGACCCCCTCAGAACTCACAAAAAACAACGGCCCGTTCCTTAGAGTCGCCACAAACAACACTATCTTCTATTGATATCCCTTTCCTGCCCTGCTGCCATCCTAACCTTTGTATTATCCAACCCTACTGAACCTTCGAAGATTTTTGCTGTTTATTTTCCTCCTAATTCGCTACGTGGCTTCTATTGTGTCTTAAATATCTTTTCATTTCACCAATGACCCTAGCTCATGAAAAATGCCCCTATTTTCTGTTCATGTTTCAGGCTATGTTACTCCAAATATGCCGGGCGTGTAGCCAATTGGATCGGCATTTATCCGGATGGACCGTTAGATATAGGGAGACCTGGTGATAATCCTCTTCACGGCGTAAATAGGAGAAGTTTTACTCCAATCCTGGGTATGCATGGTATTTTATTCACTAGTAAACCAGAACGCTGGGAAGCAACGACATCAAATTAACGATGTCTGGCGGGGAGGAGAGTAAGGTACTCCAATTATAGGTTTAGCAAAATATACAGAATTTGAGAAACTGGAGTGTCATAGATGAACGTGCGTATCAATTTCCAAAGCGCGATACTAGTTTACGAAAAGTGAAAACGCACTTCATGAAGTTTTGAAAGAGTAAACCCATCCACGACGGCGCCTATGATACACTTATGGGGAGATCGGTCTAACCCTCAACGTCCACATGTATTTGTTAATAAATTGTATAATATTTCAGAGTACGGAGTAGAAGGGAGAAAAACCAAGCCCCAAATGGCGAATTAAGCCCCGTTCTGAGTCTCTGGGCAAGAAAAAGGGTTAATAGAAGAGAGTATATTCAACAGTTCTGAGTTATGAAAACCAAAGCCTGTTAGGTTCGAGTATTTGGCGCATATAAGGACTTCATCAAGCATTTCATACAACGTAAAACGTACCAGCTCAAATATATAACGTCGTGGTAGCAAAAGGCAGGAGGAGCAAAATTGTCGGGTCCGCAAGAAAGGGGAATCTCAGGCAAATGAAAGCTGGGAAAATAGGATCTGTCCCTACATTTTGAAAGTTTGAGCAGAGTGAGGTTGTTTATAATGCACGAGTCATTATGTCATCCACATCCTTTTTATTAACTACAACACCACCCTCAGAACACCGGGCTTTAGTACGGAGCTCTGTACATAGACTATCAACGTCGATTTCACCGTTGCGAAATTTTTCCATCGATTGCAAACGGTCCCTAGGTTAGTATTAGCATGTAAACGAGTTGCAAGACCTTATAAAGTCCGTGGAACGGGATGAGAACAGACCATATCTTAGTACAAGACAACATTTGTGATCTATCTTCACCAGGCACTACCTCTTCATCGGCGTCTAGGGTTCGGTCAATTTGAGAAATAAGGTCGGCCTTAGGGGTGTGGTTGGCTCCTAGGTCGAAATTTGGAAACGAGCTGCCCACGTCCTGGAGAGGGAACGCATCATTGAAAAAGCTTCCAAAATCTTGAGATAACACAGCATCCTGTGGCTCACGATAATCATTGAATAAAACAGGGTCGAACTGGCCATTATTTTGTTGCACAAGCCAGTCTATTCCAAGAGAATTGTCATTGTTATTTGAGGTGTTTAGCGGCGAGATTGAGGTGCTGGACTCATCCTTCATGTGCGATAAGGCTGCCGGAACTGGATCTTCTGCACATCCACATGCTTGGCCCAGCTTTTCGTAGAATGATTTTTGGCACTCATCTAGGCTTAGGGGTGTATTGCCTACAGTTTTGGGTTTGGACTGCGCGTCAATGTTTGCTGTCGGCGGTGAGTGGGCTGGGGGTTCTGGGGAGGTGCCTATGGATGAAGCCCTACCATGCTGAGACTCAGAGGATGTGGAAGGAGAGTTTGTGTTGGACGCGCCGTGACGTCCACGACTCAGGGACGAATAGCTTCCTTGTCGCTTATTCTGGTCGAGGATGGCTTGTGATGACCTGACAGCTGTGTTGGTTCCGCCATAGGATAGGTCGATCGGGTTTTGCACGCTACGGCCAGCTCCTGAACCGTAGATGGCGCGTATAGAATCATTCTTCGGGCTTAGGGCCGATGCCGGCCCACCGGGTGAGTTAAATTGCTGGGTACGAGGGAGAGAATCGGGCGTACTCTTGAGCATGTCTCGATTTAGAACGCCAGGAGCTTTGTTTTGAATTGCTGTGAGAGGTGAAGTATGAGACGAGTTAGGTGAAAGTTGAGATTTGGACAGAGAGGTATTAAATATGTGGGAGCCGGGAAGATCGCCGAACTTCGGAAACTCGAAGGAAAAATCTCCAGTTGGGCGGGAGGGGCGGTTTTCATTATTTTTAAGGTGGGCGTTTGTAGGCATAGGATACCTATTTCCACTGCTAACCCATGAAAGTCGTTTGCGATATTCCCGAAGCTCGACTTGCAGTCTTTCTATCTGAGCACGAAGCAATGTATTTTCATTGTTAGCAGCTTGTGAAGCTTTTTCAAGATCTTCGACTTTTGTTTCGAGGTCTTTCAGATGTTTCTCTTTCCGTTCTCGGAATGCCCTTTGTGCTGCGCGATTCTGCGCTTTGCGTTTCTATACACACAAGACAAGATGATTAATAAAAGCAGCAGGTTAAAACAGAAGCACTACGGGGTACATACTGAAGTAGGTTCCGATGTAAGAGGCTTTCTTCCGGGTTTTTTAGCTACTTTTTCATCATTTTCCTTTCTCTTTTTACCGCCTTCCTCTTCTCCTTTCCCATCCATGCTCTTCCTTTTCTCACGCCCTTCAGTGCCTGGCAGATCGCCAATCAAAGCGTCTTCATCGGCAATTTCAAACTCCGGGTCGAGGGTGAAATCTAGGAAAGGGCTATCATCCCCAAAACTGAGACGGCCAGAAACGGAAGCCTCGTGTTCGGAGGGAGAGTTGAGAACATCGTGAGATGCAGATCCATTCTGGAGTTGTTGGATTGGGGAACTTTGGGTTTTAACAGGTATGCCATCAAAAGTCGTCTCGCTTTGTGGTTGCATTGTTTGATGGGACGTTCCAAGGGTGGCAAGGAGGAGATCCTGTTGGTCGGGGGAGAAATAGAGGCTGCGTTGATACAGGGAATCATAGTTTGACATGGTGGGTGGAATAAATGCAATTAAGATTGGGTTTTGCTGCTGAAGTAGAGAGTGTTGGAAGGAAGAGCGCTATTCAGTCAGTGGTGTGTCGAAGATGAAGGTGGTTTCGGCGGGTATGAAAATGCAAATGCTCGCGAGTGCACTGTGAAGGTACGTTGAACGACAAAGAAAAGCTCTGGGCCGACGAATGTTTGCCGAATGGGTGAATGGCTAACGTATCGTGATGACGATTCGACGGAAGTTCGAATGCCGTGCCGAGTCCACCACCCTATGTTTGATAGATTCTTCCGTAATGGTGGTCTGGGCGCATTCCTGGAATCTCGACACAAAGGAAGCGCAAGACAATGTTGACGTCTTTAGTTTCGGCAATGGTGTCTTGACAAGACCGGTGACGTGGACAAATGTAGGAAGCGCTGGAATTTCTGGCAATTTGAAGCTCAACTGGCTCTCCTCGAGCAGTCGAATCGTAGATGGGCACAAAGGGCGAGCTGGAGGATACTTGAAAAGAGAATAGAGACCAATGGCTGGAGAGACGCACGCAAGAACGTTGGAACGACAAGCTAGGCTTCCGTCGAAGGATGGTGGGGGTGAGGGACGAAGGTGGCAGCAGCAAGGTAGACTACTGGTAGATAGTCGACCAGGGGCGGCGGCAGAGAAAGACGGCGATGTTGCCGGCAGGAAGCGCGAGGCCGCGAGCAAGAAACAAGCAGGCAGACGGGCAGCAGCGCAGGCTTAGACGAACAGACGTTGCGCTGCGGCGGAGGAGAAGAAGAAGAATCTGGAAACAGCAAGCCCGTGCCAAGGCGCCAGTGCCGTTTGGGCGTGATGACTCAATCCGTATTCACGCTAAAGCGGCGACGCCGCCGGGCCCACGCACCCGCCCACGGCGCGCCGGATACGGCTAGCCGGCCGCGCCGCTTTGGCGATTTGTGCCCCTGCTGATTAGAAATCCGGCCGGCAGGTCACGCGTTGGGAGTCGGGGTTCAGGGGCTGCAGGATCAAACTGTGCCGGCCCGCGGGAAACAGTGCAGGCAGTGTGGCAGAATGCTCACACCATGGTGGGCAACGGCGGGAATGCTTGGGGTACGAGGCCTCGATGGATGCACGCACTTCAGGCCCTGATGCCTATTCTGGCGGCTCTGCCCGTTACACTCACCCTTCGAAGAGCTGTGGACCCTTCTCCGGAACCCGCGGGGCAATGAATACGGGCCACCTTCACAATTCATCATAGCGTCATCGACAGCCATCCTCCAATGCCGTGCTCCGTACCTACCATTTGAACGAACAAACAAGCATGATATTCGCCTCGCGCTCTCGGTAGGCGTTGGCTAAGAGGTAATATTGTGTTGGTTACGGTTACCATAGGATCTGCATGGCAATGATCTATACCGCCCCATTAGTTAACTATCTATTCGTAACGGCCTCAGTCTGCACCTGGCTAGGCAGGCTTCTCGTAGTCCAATGGAGAAAATCGCCTAATGATGGAGTATTCCATGCAGCTATGGCTGCCGAACTGGCCCCATGGCCGCCGACCGTAGACGACCACTCTTGATCTCCACTGAATCTGTGACTAGTTGGATGACCTGTCGCCGCCCCCGCATTGTCCGAATGAGATAAAGCTTAGCCGACTTCTTGATTGCATAGCGCCCGCCGAAACATGGGCGTTTCAAATTTGATATTGCCTCGTTTAACTTAGATGCAAACACGACAAACAGGCCCCAAGGTCACGTGAAGGTTCATTGGGGCCAAGCTTCGTCGTCTTCACGATATGATCTATTTTAGTATTGCGAGCAGCTCAACATCGCCATTTGGTTAAATTCCCGCGCGGTAATTCGGCTTCATCCTTATCGTATTACCTGTCACTCTCATCCCACCATGAGCGCAGATGTGGTTACCTTGAGCAATGAAGTGAAGGAATTCAGGCTTCAGGTTTGGCTCCATTCTTGGCTTAGGAAGCACGTTCTTTGATCTCAGAACTAATACCACAGTGCTTTAGCTTGAGTCTGTTCAGTCAAGTTTGCAGGTAGACCCAGATAACACAGAACTTCAGAGCCTAAAGACTGAGCTTGAAGAACTTATATCCCTTACGGAGCAATCCATCGCCGAATTACAACCCGATATTCCCCCGGAGGTCACGAAGTCGAAACCCGCTTCTCCACCAATAAAGGAAAAATGGTCTAAAGAAAACCACCCTGCATATCAAGCTGGGTATCGGAAACCTGTAGATCCTGCCGTCGAAGAGCCCCATTCCACCCCCGTCACCTTCTCCGTTAACGACAACGTTCTCGCTAGATGGGTTTCCGGGGATAATGCTTTTTATCCAGCTCGCATCACATCCATAACTGGCTCGTCCACAAACCCTATTTATATCGTCTCCTTCAAGTCATATTCGACTATCGAAAGTTTGGGCGCGAAGGACATTAAACCTGTTTCTCATAATGATTCTCGAAAGCGAAAGGCTGATGGGATACCAGGAACACCAGCCCCGCAGTCTCTGCCGGCAAATCCAAGCGTGATATCTGCTGCCGCTGATATCAACCCCGCTCTCGCCAACATGGCCCGAACAGAGGGTGCTAAACCCGCTGATGGGTCTCGACCGGCGAAAATGCCCCGAAAGGTCAAGGCCAAAAAGGATCTGGAAGCCGGGAAAGCTAAATGGCAAGACTTTGCGAGTAAGGGCAAATTTGGCAAAGGCGGCAAGAAAGAAAGCATGTTTCGCACTCCAGATGGAGTCAATGCCAGAGGTATATCGTCCGACGTGCAATATACTAATACTATGTACTAATCCATTGGGTTTTCTAGTTGGATTCACCGGCTCGGGTCAACAAATGAGAAAGGATCCAACAAGAAGCCGACACATATACCAGCAGGAGGAAGATACATATTAAACTTTATTCACCCACATGTCACATACGCCCCCTTTTTTTTTTTTGACCTGCATGGTTTAAAATTGGATGCTCTTTGAGATTTTCATCACATTCCTGGTTTTTAAAACACCCATGGGGCACTATCTTTTCTAAGTCTTGCCACTAACTTCACTTCATAATTGGCCAGGACAATCTACATGCTACCATTTCGAAAACCATTTTCCTGGAGCTCAAGTATCGCTACGTCACCTGAGTGTTACTCTGCGGAAGCATTTTTAGGGCTGTCAAAGCTAGTATGAGTATCTTACTGTCCCTTCTTGATAAAAGTCTTTGCCCTACTTTCCACTCCTTATTTGTCGATTACTTGGCGGTTGACCTAATGTTTTTCCTTTGCGTCATGGTGTTACGCCTTTCAGTTATCATTCACCACTACTCCGTACAGGAAGTAATAAAATATATATATATATATATTCTACTAGAGCCAGGTAACAAAGGGACAAATTATACATAGCTTGTATACGCTTTCATTTGGCCAATGTTTTATAACAACATAATTGCTATCCTAAATCTTGCATATGAACTTTAAAGGTGGTGTAGCCGAATGATTTCCATAGTTCTAAGAACGAATAGCTTAACTCCTAAACAGTCTCAAGCCATCTTCTTCGATTCCATCACCCTCGCTCATCTCATTTTCTTCGTCTGTTTCATCCTCTTCAAGAACTTCCCTCGCACGCCTCCCCAGCAACGATGCAAAAAATTCTTCTCTCGCCCTATCGCCCCAAGCTCCTCTTTCCTCTGGCGCCATAAAATTTTGTAATTTTTCGTGAACATTAAATTTCATCTTTCTGCCCTTGGATGCCTTGGTGTCAACCTCACATTTGACTTTATCCTTGCGCATCCCAGAGGTTGGGTGAATAGCCAATCCGCTTAGCTGAGAGTCAATACCGGCACCCGTCGTTGAGGACATTCGCTGCTCAACAAGGTCACGGAGCAGGGATTGGTAAAACGCAGTGTCATCATATAAAATGTTAGGGGGCCGTGCATCGGGTAAATGAGCAGTTTCAGTGGCAATATGGGCATCGAGAACTGCTGTTATGGTCTGTTGGTTGGATTTGTTGGTTAGTAATTTATTCTGGTTGGAGGGAATGGCGGCGCGAATCCCGCGTGCTTTTAGGGACCATTTTTCAAGGACAGCACGACGATGTGGAACAGCCTGTGATTCGAAGTCATTCATACGATCCCAAATTTCAGACGACGGAGTCGCTGAGGATATTGGTGTACGTTTGCGTTTCTTCGAAACTGATTCCGATGTATCTCCAAAGGCGGAAGTCGCTAAGGCATGGCGCAAATCATCCAGAGTGTTCCAGAGGGATATTGCGGCAGCCTCAGTCGACTTGATTAATTGCTCATGGGATGGCTCATTGACGTCTTTCAAAAAATTAAGACCCTTTTGGAGTCGTATCCGGCTGTTTAGGAGTGCGTCAAAAGTGCGTCGCTGTTGTCTGACAGCAATACCCTTCGACGCATCGGCCTCTGCAGCTTGGGACAAGGACAGAGCAACAACTTTATCATCAGTTGCCATGAGGCGACGCACTTCATCTCGATCATGAGAGTCATTCTTTTGTCGGCGAGGGGACTCTTCTTCGGCATCGTCTTCTGTATCAGACTCTATACTCGTCACACTTTCATCTTCGCCTTTGCCATCTTCTTGATCACTATCGCCAGTGTTATCGTTACCTGGACTGTCATCCCCCTCTTGATCTTCGTCATCTGACATATCCGTATCAGATCCCTCGGTATCTGCGGACAGCATAGCATCACCTTCACTGTCACTTGCATTCAACACATCTCTGCTAATTCGAGAGCCAGCGTATTCCAGTCCAAGCTCCACTGGGGCCGGCACGCGGAGTTTGCTCTTGCTGGAAAGCCGGATGATAAGCGTTCTGTGTAAGAAAATAGAGGAGTAGGAACATACCCAACCGTCTCGTAGTGCTCGCGACCCAAAAGGCCTGATTCCCGATCGTCGTCGGACAATTGATCATTATCGCTGCTTTGGTCATGATCGCTCAGGTCTTCAGGATCGAAATCTAGATACAGTGTTAAGTGCTGCTCGACGATATCAATCCAACGCAAACTGTACCTTTTGGAGCGGGATCATCTAGCTCTGCAATCTGTTCCGCAAGAGACTTGATTCTGTGCTTGTTCACCCCCATTTTCGCAATTCTCTCCAATCACTCTGTCGCCAACTCGAAAAATCATTTTTAAGTTGAAAATTTGGGTGATGGAGCTCCTTCGGAAAAGCTTCCCGGCGCGCCGAACAGGGCAACTTATGTAACCGATCTCCAAACCAAAGCAATCGAGCCTGAGCGTCATGACTGTCTGTTCAAATATGGACCCGGGGATTGCGTGAATCGCTGATGCCCTATTACTTGACTAAATATGCGCCGGAGCTGTTTTTCTACTCTCCGGCAGCTCCAGCACGACAACCCGCTGGTAAGTCTCATCGAGCCACATGTCTTTTTTTTCCGCTTCTGACCGATCAAGGGCCTCCCGCGTTCTGGCACGCCACCATCCTTCCCTCGTCGCCGTGGCTTACCAGAGCAAAGAAAGATCCGCGATGTCAATAAGATTGTAGCAGTTTCTTCTGCTAAAGGCGGCGTTGGAAAGTCGACTATTGCTGGTAGGGTCTGTCTATTAGACCTTCTCTCTGCGATGCGGGGAAACAATTAACAATTCATGGCGGTCCAGTGAACCTCGCCTTAGCACTTGCTAGGCGAGGAATTCGAACGGGTATTCTCGATACTGATATTTTCGGTCCCTCTATTCCTACGTTGTTGAATTTGTCGGGAGAGCCTCGGCTTGATGACAGTGCGTTGGCTCATTCCACTTCGGCCCAAAACTGGTATATTTAACAACCTTCGCAGATAATTGTCTTATTCCTCTGACGAACTATGGCCTCAAGTCTATGTCCATGGGCTACCTGCTCCCTCCGCCTGCACCGGGATCCACCATCACCTCATCCGATCCTAATGTACCGCCATTGGACACAACACCTATCTCCTGGCGTGGGCTCATGGTATCGAAAGCAATGAACCAACTTCTGCATTCTGTTTCGTGGGGCCCACTAGATGTTCTAATCCTAGACTTACCCCCGGGAACTGGAGACGTACAGTTAACTATTAACCAAGAAGTAATGGTAGACGGCGCGGTGATTGTGTCCACGCCACAAGACATTGCTCTTAGGGATGCTGTTAGAGGCTACGGTCTATTTGAAAAAATGAATGTTCCTGTTTTAGGTATGGTGCGGAACATGGCCTTCTTCGCATGTCCACATTGCGGTAAGGAAACCAAAATATTTTCGAGGGGGTCCAATGCCCCTCACAGTGGACACGGGCTGCATACAACTGAGTCCCATGACTCTGGTGTGGTAGCGGCCTGCGAAAGACTAGGTATCGAGTTTCTAGGAGACGTTCCTCTCGACGGGAGAGTATGTGAAGACGCCGATAGAGGGATTCCCACTGTTGTTGCTGAAGAATCAAATGTCAACAGTCCCAGAAGAAATGCGTTTTTGACTATTGCTGAAAAGGTTGTGAAAAAAATTGGTTTGGAATGGAAATGAAATTGAGAAAGCCCATTTGATCCATTAGGTTGGTGGTCGTTATTTCAGACGATCTCAGCCTCCATATTGTATACTTGCAACCACTAGTTACTGTTGATATCTCCACAAACAACACTCTGAAGAGATGGTATGGACTACACAATGCAACATTGTAATCAGATTATTTTTGCGAACCATAGCATGGCTATGGTTCTGTGTCAAAATATCAAAATAGGATATTCAAGACAGATGTACATATATATCGAAAATTAAAAATACCCACCCCCAATATTATGCTATCCGGAAGACCTCTAGTGCATTCTCCAATGACGCCCCGGGTCGAATTTTTTCTCAGAGACCGTAATCGAATGCACGCTTTCAGCATCAACACTATCGGCATCTGCATTACTTACGAACTTGGAACGCGAGACAGCAGTTACACTCTCAGGAAAGGGTGGGAACGGTTCAGTCTCCGATGGCACCCCTAGTCCTGTCGAATTAAGCTCATCGGCCAGCTCTCTACCTCCATGAAACGGCTTAGAGAATCCTTGTGCTGTAATGAAGCTCTGTCCAGTTCCGCTGTCTCGATGATTAGGCCCGGCCGATCGTACAGCAGAGATTGGAAGATGATTATCACTATATTTCTCCTGGGGGACAGGACGCTGGTGACCAAAAGCTGCGTCTTCGGCTGGCGTGGCGATGCGACGTTTGGACTTGCTAGGGTTAACCCCATCTTGGTTGTCTCCAATCCAGGCGTCAGTAGGAGCAAGGCCAGACCTTGTTCGAACCCGCCCCACATCCCGCCTAGCAGGAAGCGCGGTGGTAGACTCGCAAGGCGTTTGCCATTCCATCGAGTCTCCTGATTCATACATAAGGGGTACAGGATCTGCCACGCCTTGAGCGTGCCGTATTGCTCTTGTACTGGCACCTTCATCTGGCCGCACAGGGTGGTGGTGCCGTCGGGAGGACAGTTGACGGAGGGGACTTCTTGGCGGTACATATGCCGGATTTGGTGGACTGTCGACCTTTACTTCGGGTGCTGCAGTTGTAGGTTGGCGCAGTGGGTCTGGTACTTCAATAATGTTGTGCTCTTTGGCAACGTAGCCATTCAGAGGCAAAAAATGGGTATATTTAGAAGACCCTGTTGACAATGAGCGGTCAAGTGATCGCTTTTCAGAAATGTCCCTCTCTGATTCGTTAGATTGCCCAACATCTGTGACTACTCTCGTCTCACTGGCGGGCCTGGGGATAGGACTTCTGAATCGGCCAAGGTATTCCCCAGAGTGTCTCAGTTCGGCCTCATCATGTCTATTTCCGATAGAGTTCCAAAATGCCAGTGCTCTACTCTTTTTAGTAGGTCTCCGCACTTGTCGAATTGAGACCCCCCGTCTAGCTGCGGCAGAGGTCGGCGGTGGTATCTCCCCAGGAGCCAGTTCCCCAATACCTAGAACAAGCTCTTCAACTCTTTTCTTCATTATCTTGCGTTTTAATTTAATATATTTACTATCCCACTCCTCCTTTGCACTGATCCATCGACGAACAGGTCCGACTTTTGGTTCACCTATCTCGTCAGGAGGCATTCTTAGAGCCGGAAGCTGGGATTTATCTGGAAGCGGGTGAATATTTCCATGTCCATCCACAAGTTGGCGAATCATATGGTGGTGGAATGGCGGCAAGGGATCGCCAGCTTTTCCAACAGTCCTGAACGTTTGTTGATGAGTAGAAGACTGCTCCTGTCCACCAGGAAACCCAAGATCTGCACTCGAGGACGAAGACCAATCTGGGATTGCTATGCTAGCCTCCTGGGCACGGGAAAGAACCCAAGCGGCAAATTGAGCTATTGAACGATACATATACTTCGCCGGTTTTGTGAAGCTCAAAGTAGGCGCCACATGGCATAGATGGTCCCATACCTGGAGTTGTACATAGGTAGGTTTATACATCCCTACTATCTTCCGATCTGGATCATGACGAGTTAAATATTTTTCGCCTGGGGGATATGCAGCCGGGTCAGCAGCTTTATGTGCAAAATAAATCTGCTCATCTCGAAGCATTTCGCCTCCTCCACTGATGATTAGCAGTGGAGGCAACCCGCCAAGTGATGGCTGGAGAACAGGAGAGACCAATGGGTGTGATAGCATGTCATTGGTTGTGTACATATGAATTTGGTCTTTCAATTCCACAAGAACGCCATCCATTCTGATGGTAAGTAGGTGGTCAGAATGCATGTGGTTAAGGGCATTGTTTCCAAAACTTGCTGGATTGTGCTGGGGTAATGGCTCAAGATGGCCAGCATGTGTAGTAGCAGTCGCTTGGCGGATGAAAAATTCCTCGATAGCTCTTTCATCCACAGAAGTAGTACTGTCAGTAATTGGAGGCGAGTCTATCGCCTGCAGGATCCTACTTGCACACTTCGTTACCACACCAGCCTCATCTGCATTAGGCGGTGGCCACGACATTGAAGGACGCTGCATAAAGCCATACGCTGGCAAATAATCATCGACCCCGATTTCTGACATGCTAGGAAACGAATGGGTTAGGTCGAGCCACGGCGAAATCATAATTGCACCGGCAGGTAAGGGCATCCTCTGATCGCGGAGAATTATTAATATACTAAAGTTTGAAGCATTAGCTTAATAGACTATACATATCGGTAAAACATACGATGCCACCATTCCGCCACCAGAGGAATCTCCCGCGAATATAATTTCCTCGGGGCTATGGAGAGTCAAAAGGTAAAGATAAGCTGCAAGACAATCCTGTATTCCACACGGGAATGGAAATTGGGGAGCGAGGCGGTATCGTGCTACATATAGTAAGTAAATCGATCTGGATTAACAGAATATCAAAGCTCACTACCAAAAGTTAGTAATTTTGCGCAAATACAGCTGTTGCGTAAACTTCCTACCGAGCAAATACCCTCGCTTTGAGTTTCCTTGCGTGGCGTTGCAGCTGATAACGGTGTGTATCAACGCTCCCAAAAAAGTATGCACCTCCATGAATGTATAAGATAATTCTTTTGCACTTGTGGGATAAATTTTTCCTCTCGACGTAATCGCTCCTCATCTCAATCCACTCAGCGTAGAGCGCCACATTGTCTCCTCTCCATTGCCACCATGTCTTACCCCCAACCCTATCCACACCCTCAGGCCCAAGTTCCGCAACAATGAGATGACCAGAAGAGACCAGATGCTCTGCTGGAATCACGATGTTAGACTGTTTGACCCAATGAGGTGAAATAACGCGTCGAGACGTGAACGATTGAAACTGCTCTACAGTGTGATGGGAAGCATAGTATAGAAATTGACGAGTGACTTCGATTCCAGCGTGATAGGATAGGCTGTGTGTCGGCTTCTGTCTAGGTGGCCTCCCTCCAAAGTTCTTTTTAAAAGTCGAAGTCAACATGGACAGCCCAAGAGCATAGGGGTAAAGCTTACATGGGAGCACCAAGTCTTTACAGCTGTAGGAGCAATTGCTGCCGTGACACTGGCCGTATTGAAAGGCATTGTCGCGGATCGCAAGGTGTTGGCTGTAAAAGAGTATTTTCATAGCTCTATAGGGGTATCATGTAAACAATCCTGCACTATACCAAGTAGACAGCAGGAATATACGAGAAGTGTTATTGTAATATAGACATAAGGAAAGAAAAGGCCATTCTTTTATTTTAGGATTGAGCCTTTGACTTGTAAGATCGCTTAGCTGAGTTTAGATGATGTCATTGATGTTCCGTGGACTCAATGTAATTCTATGCCCCACGTTGTTCCAGTATAAGGTCCAGGATAAAGTGAGGGGGCGGCGCACAACAACACTCAGCTCGCGATGTGCCTCCTTCGTTGTTGGTATGTTACGATGTGACTTGACATGGCAGTTGATGAAGGGATGCGCATGATCGGCGGCTGGGAAGCGCCGTTTCATTTGCTTAATTACCGTTAGTCGTTAACTAATTAGGCGCCACACGTGATTGTAATTCTATCATCACGTGCTTATACAGCCCGCCTGGGCGCTGTCGTTTTTTTCACATACGACCCTGCCAGTCCATTATGTTCTTAATAATATTCAACATGATTTGCGATATGCTTCGTACGGAATAAAGCAGGCTAAACTGCTAGTGATGGGATTGTGATTCCAGACCCTCTTTACAGGGCACATACAAAGGCAATCAGCTCTATAATAACCCCCCAGCAGTACTCCGTCCAGTTTCTTTTTACATATTCTCACAGGCAGGATCAATATGCCTTGTGGAGGCTCTGTATGCAGTACGGAGGACTCCATATAGCGTACTAATTGAGTCTTCCGCTTCGTCTTTGGCATTAATGTGAAATTTAGAGTTAAGAGCTGTGAGCTTTGTCAGCACCCAATATTACTTTTTTCTTTTTTTTTTGTTCTCAGACCCTGAAAACTGTGCGGAGTAGACTCCGAGTTGACCTCAGTGTACAAAGGCTACTACAACCCGGGTGACAAAATAATAGGATACTATAGAATCACCAACTGTCTGGTTACTGACACATATCCCTGCTTGACCCATAACCTCTACCACCACACACTCAATAACCACAATGAATGAAGCACATCCGCAATTTGATCCTCCTCAAGCACCCGCAAAACCACTGTCACCTTCCGCTCAACTCGACCTCGCTATTACACTGATTCTTAATGGCTGGCCGGTTCTCAATCTCGCTGTTCAGTCGTCCTGGGGCGGTCCGAACTCCTCCGAAAAACGCGACTGGCTCTGTGCTGCAGTCGCGGAGCTTTTCTCTTCTCGGCCCGACACAGATTCTATAGATCTTGAAGAAGTGTTGCTGCAGGTTATGAATGATGAATTCGATGTAGTTGTGGATGACGAAAGTGGAGCGGATATAGCAGATCGAATTATGGAGGTGAAGGCCGAAATAGAAAAGGGCGAGCTGGCACGCGTAAACAAATTGTGGGAGGAGTATAACGAGAGAGAGAGAAGGGGTGGTGATAATCTCTCCCTGTTTAAGGGTGTGGATGTGAAGGATGAAGATCAAGAAACGGACGGGGATGAAGACGAAGATGAAAGTGATGTCGAAATGGCAGATGCACCCACTTCAAAGCCACCAAAAGAGCGAGAGTTACCAGAAGTTGATGAAGATGGATTTACAAAAGTCGTAGGGAGAAGAAAAAGATGATATCAGACAACTATGAGGGAAGTTTACTTTGGCATTTCTTTAAAAAAGAATGCGAATAAGATGATAGGGCAGGGAGCATTCTGGAGTTAGGACATGGAAAATTCTTAGAAATGATTTTAAGCGTTGAAAGTTATTGCAATTTTGTGGGTGATACATTTTGTCGCACGGTATGTCTTTTTTTTTTGTTGACTTGAAAGACATTTGCCGAAACTAGAAGTCTCTAAAAAAAATAATGTATAAGAATCTCCTTATGCAAGTACGCCTTTATAGATCAAACGAGCTATTTTAAGTAGCAGTCTCGGGGTTATCGGTAATCAATTTAGTAATCATTCCGATAGCAATGGTTTGTCCCTATAGAAAACAGAATTAGTATGGAATTTCATAAAGGTCGCAAAGTGTAGCATACCTGCTCACGCAACGTGAACCGCCCAAGTTGATTATAATCTTCAAACCGCTCGACACAAACAGAGCCTGCTCCCCCCATTACTTCAAGCCGGGCAATTATGGTCTGTCCCTTGTTGGCAAAGGCTGGTGGTTTCTTGCTTCGCCTACCAGTTTCTTTCTCGAGTTTGTGAAGAAGAGCTGCAAATGTGACTTCCTCGATGGCTGCATGCACATGCATAACACAGTCAAACCCGGCAGTCAGTATGCTCTTGAGATCGAGAATTCTAATCTTGGCCTCAAATGCCGAGACACAATGAACTGGCCTCTTAGGAGAGCACATAACAAAACCCGGCATGATATCCTCTTCTTCAACGCCTCTCAAACGAGCCCGGATTTGATCACCACAAGTTGCTGTAGTTATTTCCTCTTCAGTCTCACCATACAAGGCAGTGACAGTAACTTCCTCTCTGTTAGGCATTAAAATGCACGTGGAACCCTTTTTCAGAACACCAGATTCAATTCGTCCTTCAATGACCGTTCCCATGTCTTTATATTTGGCGCTAATCGGCATCATGAATGGGGCGTTAATCTTGCGCTCGGGCATTTTCATATTGTGAAGATAATCAAGGAGCGAAGGGCCATTCCACCATGGTGCCAAATCCTTCGGAACGGGGGAATTTATTCCAATAGTCTTCTGTGCTGATAGAGGCATGAATTTCAAATCACTCTTTTTATACCCCATAGCTTCGAGGAATTTTCCAATCTTGGTTGAGCATTCCTCGTAGCGCGTTTTGCTCCATTCCACTGTAGGGTCGTCCATCTTATTGACTGCAACGATAAGCTTTTTAACACCGGCATTTCTAGCAAGCAGGGCGTGTTCTCGTGTCTGACCCCCACGCTCGAAACCGGTTTCGTATTCACCTTTTCTAGCCGAAATAACGAGAATACCAACATCTGCTTGAGAGGCACCACCAATCATATTTGGAACAAATGATTTATGGCCAGGGGCATCGAGTATGGTATAATGTCGAGTCATTGGGCCATCTGAAGTTTCACCTGAAGTCTTAAAAAAAGCACGGCCTACTTCAACGGTTTTGCCTTTGGATCGCTCCTCACTTGTCAAATCTAAAGCCCAAGACAAATACCATGTCTCTCGACCAGCATCTTTTGCTTCCTTCTTATACTTTTCCATTGTTCGCTCATCGACCATACCGGTGGCGTATAGAATACTTCCACCAAGAGTTGATTTACCTGCATCGACATGGCCGATGAAAATCAAATTCACATGCTCACGTTTCTCGCCATAAATCTCTCTTAAGGTGGCCTCATCAACGTCAGCAGCTTGCTCTCTAGAAACAGCATCTGCATCGCGAATAGGAGCCTTGGCCTCGGCTCTGCTGGGTGACGACCGGCCTGAAGAGGGAGCAGGGGACGTCTTTCCAGAACCCGCAGACTTCTTCTCGGTCTTTTCGATGGCCTTGGCAGCCGTAACTTTCGATGCCGCTTCAGGGCCACCGTCTGGTCCAGGCGCGGCCTTTGGTGTAGGTGCGGGGGTCGTAGAGGAGGGGGCCTTGGGCTTAGGCACGTCAGCCCCGATAGATAAAATCTTCGTTTTGGGAGCAGGGGCAGCAGGCGTGTTAGAATCAGGGCTCTCTGATGGCTTCGCAGCTACAGGCGGGTCTGCCGCAACAGGAGCTGGTTTTGGAGGCTGGGCAGTGTTTTGCGGTCGCCACTGTTTCTGCTGTGGCATCGTGTTATAATCACCATATTGTTGTGCATAATATTGACCATAACCTCCCTGTTGGTTATAAATTTGATTATACTGGCTATAAGCTTGTTGCGGCTGATATGTCCCGTATTGTGGAGATGCGCCGCGGCTCTGATATGGTTGGCCTGGCTGAAAAGAAGCAGCACCTGGACGAAAGGTAGACGTTTGCGGATTGAGGTTTAAGTTCTGCTGGGCTTGTCTTGCCAAATGTTCATCCTGAGCAGCGGGGTCATCTTCCCAAGAATCGAGGTGGGACATCGTGAAAATGGAGGAAAAAAGGTGCCTTAATCGGAAGTTCCCTATCTAAAAAGAAACAAGAACATTAGAAGATAAAAAAACCGGTAGCCTGGCTTGTGAATCGAGGCCTCAAAGGGTGTTGAAGCCTTGCGCTGTGCCTGTTGGGCATGATTGTGGGGCTCAAGAACTAACTTTGAAAGATGGGCAAGCTTATATAATCCCGGAGTTCATTGCACTAACTAACTCAATTTAGACTAGCTTGGCTAGCGCCAGACGACGCGCTACCACGGCTACCTCCTGTAGTGACGTAACTACCTAGTCAGCTGTGATTAACTTTACAGCGACTAAGGCACGTGCCCATTCTTCGATGCCTAAAACCCAATGACCTTCCTAGGTACTTCGTGTTGCACCATACTACTCATAAAATGGAATGGCTGTCGAATTATGAACTGCACGGAAGCCAAGTATTTTACCTTCGTGCCCATAGCTCAACATGAGACTCCGAAATAATTACTACGCTCGCTAACAATTTGGTCCTTGGTTCTCATCATGGCAGGTCTTCTTTCGATGGACAAGGTCCTCTTGACGGTAGGCTCTATAAAACTTTACTATCTTGAGATGTCTGTGCTTATAGTATCCTCAGATCACTGGCCAGGCAATGAATTATGCTGTTAGGTAGCTAGAGCCACCCGCCCGGGGGTGTTACCATGTTAATACTGCCCAGGTCAGGAATTCGTGTTACCGGACAGTATGCTATCAGCCAAGTATCTCGGCTTATGAGAAAATCGGCGGTCCGTTTATCACGGCATGTAATGGCAGGTGATGCATGCTGATTAATTTCGGCCAGAACATTGATGATACTGACCGCGATGAGCTCCAAGCGCTTCAGGAAAGACTTCAGGCAAAAATTCGAGTAAGTAGTTATTGATTGTAGCCTACTACTGTATCTCTAATTGATTATTAGATAATATCACCTGCTATTGATATGATAGAGCTTATGTAGGCTGGCCTCCTAATTGAAAGCGCTCTGAAATTGAAGCCTAATATGACCCAGCGCAGCTCGGGGTAACACCTCCCTCGAATCCGCAGTAACACTCACAAAAGGGTTGAGATTAGAAATACAAACTCTTGGGCAGCGGCTAGCAAATGTTGCGTCAAAGGAAGAGCTCAGCCGCAAAGGCATTATTTCAACCACCCAACCAGCAAAGACTAATACTGAAATAACATTGATCATCAAAGACATCAGAAGATTGTTGGGTCGGATTGAGGATACAGTGCCTCTAATCAATCTTGCTATTACTACATCTGGTGCGAGCTTGTCTACTACTTTACCCCCAACCGTATCACCAGCACGCCTTCTTCAAGCGAGCACCTTCTTGACCACTGGGGATACTCAATACTCAGCTTCCCCAGCAAGAGCAGTTCAGATTGGTCCTACATTTATATTGTCAATATATCTTTTGTTTGCAGGACACGCCCGTCCTCACGACGAAGAGACCATCCGAAATACAACCTGGAAGGAAGTAATTCACAAGGCGCGGTTAAAACTGCGAAGAATTCCGATAGAACTACTAAATTCTCACCCTTTAGTCCCCGCTCCACCCCTCAAGGCACCAATTGAGGGCCACATTCGAGGAAAGGCGAAAGGCGACGAATTTGCGTATCAGATTCTTGTCATTGAAGACTTGGATGATGGTCGAGTCCATACCTTCGACTCCGATGATGAAGGACCATGCTCTTTTGAGGATATTGCGATAGCGGGTATTAGAGAAACCATCCCACTACACCAGATATCAAAGATTTTCTACGCAGATACTGGTAAGATTTTGAATATCGGCAGTGAAGGGGAAGCCAATCACCCAGTGCTACTGCTGAAACGTGACGTGAATGCCATTCCACCCCGAAAGATGATTGATGAAGCAGAGGCAGAATACGACGATTTTATTCAAAATTGCCCTGATAGCTTTGATCCTACTGAAGGAGAATCAAGTCCAAGTACCCCCGCAATATTAGAATCCCCCCTAGCCGATCGCTGGAGATTTCCTCCGGACCTAGATTTGGAATGGATTGCATTTGAAGTTTATAGTGAATCTGAAGATTCCGATTCTGAAGACGAGTCAGATTCTCAGGAATTGTCGCCCACTCGCTCACCTACTAATCCTCGATTGGGTGCTGGACTGTCAAAATTACGCCTTGATGAGGATCCACAATCCTCACAAGTTACGGTGGCCGAGGAACATCTCCAGACGGTCTCTGACCCTCGATTCCGAAATATCAAGAGCTCTCTATCTCTTTTAGAGATGCTTCTTCGTCTAACATCTCTTCAGCAATTTCAGCAACAATCCCACCTTTCTTGCTCCGATGAGCTGCTAAACTTTTTCCTAGAAGAGTCTTCCACCACTGGTGCTGGTGGCGATGAAAACCATCGTCGAAGAGTTCGTGCTGAAGCTCGTCGAAAAGTTGGTTGGGATCCTTATGATGAAAGCCCAGTGAAACGGCGTGGGGAAGAGTATCAGTACCAGGCGGGTCATGATGGAAACTCTTGGGCTCGGGGCTCTCCTCACTGGCAGTCAAGTGCAGGGCCCTACACACCAAGTACGACACCGCTATCAAAGGATCTTTGGTCTATCGATAACGGCCGCCGTAAAAGCTTGCGGGGAGTTGTAGATGGAAACGTCACTAGGGAAAGGACAGTATCTCCATCTCCTAACGCCATTCCCAAAGATACGACGGAGCGAGGAATACGCCGAAATAGTAATAGAGCTTCTTGACACACCCCCTCTAAAGTCTGGATATGAATGTTAAAAGAAAAATTCGAGTATGTATGAAAATAGTAAATATGTGGCGATGCCGAAATTTTCATAACCCAGTCTATACGTCTGCGAATCCGTGATAAATACAACATTTTGATACATACACCTTTTCTAAAGTTAATATGTTGCAAAACCTTTTAGACTTTTGGGTTTATTCTCTCTTCTATAGTAAGAATTGAAATGTAGTGAGAGGCTTGCCAATTTCCATACCGTTCAATTTCGTTTCTTTAGTCAAAAGAAAGTGATATAGAGAGATCATACGTATGTGCTATATACAGGGTAGGAATACAAATACTTATGGGAATGTTAAGAGTCCTAGAATACTAGCCATAGCTCAATAAACCCAAGACTGGCGAACTCCAGGAACGCCATGTGTACAAAAGACGTAAAGTATAGTGAGAGACATATAGATCAAATCATTCCCAATCTTCCTCGTCACTGCTGTCAGCTGCATTTGCCGTGGCAGTGGACGATTTCGGCCCCTTTGGGCTGCCTGGTGCCCGGCTTGTAGCACCACTAACAAGATCGTAGCTTGCATCACTGTCGGCCTGTGATTGTTGATCATTGGATCTTCGTGGCTCTGATGGCTTCAGATTATCCTTCGAGATTGACGGCTCCACTGAAATGGGACGAAGTGGCTCATCGGCCTTGTTGATCTTGACCTGGGGTGTAGAGGGCGATTCAGAATCAGAGTCAGAATCCTCATCCCAGGCAACTTCCTCTTCGTCACCTGCAGTTGAAGCTAGAGAAGAAGCACATTAACAAACATCTGTTTACCCTCCATAGCACATGTGACATACCTTTCAACAGCTCCCTTCGCCTCCTCTCTTCCGTCTCAATAACTAGTCGTAGGAAATAGTATCTCCTCCAAAAGTCGAAATATTCTACCTTTTCTGGAACAAGGTTTTCCATAGCTCTTCTTAGTCCAGGATATGCATCCAAGTCTGTAGATATATCGCTCGTCTTGTCGTCAATTTGAAATTCGCTTTTCCATTTAGACCATTCATCGCTTTCAGGATCTGCTGAAAAGGATTCTAGATTGGAATGTATGGCGTGTAATTGTGCTTCAAATCTGGTGGTATGAATGACTCGCTTTCCATCGGCATCCCTACTCTCAAAGAGCACCTTGCCTGGAGAGGCACCCTGATCCGCATCTTCGGGAGGGGCAATAGTCACAGCGTCCCGTAAGAAATTCTGAATGTTTGTTCCAAATCTCAGTAGCGCTTCATCAGCTGCGTCCTCGGCTTTCTCGATGTCTTTGAGGCGTTTCGCGGCTTCTGCACGGAATCTGGAAATGAAACCATCCCCTTCAGTCCCTTGACCATCCTGGTCGCTTTTTGCCGCATTGGTGGACAATTCGCCAGCTTTAGGAGATGTGGGCGTTATGGCACCGTCGCGATTATGCTGCTCACTGTCCGATTCCTCGCCAGTGCCGGCAGCGAATCCGCCCAACGACAGTCCTCTTGTCCGCCCAATGATAGTATCTCGTAGACCTGTAAATCCTTTGATGGCTTCTTCACTGGCAGCGGAGTATTCTTGCCTTGCCCCATTGTAGTAGCTTTCCCCTTGCTGACGAACATTCCCCCATAGGCCTCCAAGCCGCGCAGCCCAGGGACTCGCAGAGAAGGCGTTGAAGGTTTCTTGGAATTCAGCGCTCAAATCATGACGTTTTGTGGGCTCAGAGGCGGTGCTTCCCACTTCAGCGTCGTTGTCACGCTTGTCGTTGCTGGGGGACGCGAGGATCTCCTCTTGGATGTGGTCGTAAGCGACATCCATAGTCAGAAACAGGAAGCGTATGGCGACGATAGGTTAAACGTAACGGTAGAAGGGATAGGGTGATAAATGTCTTACGCGGGTGCCCTGGCCGAAAGGGGGATTAAATGTCACAAGTGGTGTCTTAATGAATGGCTAAGTTCAATATGTAGTTAGGTTTCGATTGCTTAAGCTGGAGAAGCCGCTCAAACGAAATGACCAACTCGAATTGGCTACCCGCAACCCCGAGTTAGCTAACAGCCAAGCGGCAACTTGGCTCCTACTATTGTACTATTTGGAACTCTTCTCTTCCCAATGATCCTGAAATCATATTTTTTTAAAAATCGTTACGTCTCTAAATATGTATGCATTATTGAATGTACAGTACTCCGTATATATGCAGTCTAGGTGTTTTTCTATGCTTCCTCTAGCTAAAACAGATATGTTATAAAAGGAAATGTGTGTATGCAATACGGAGTATGCTGTTCAAGAAGGAAAGGCCTATTTAAGGTGCGAAAAGTCTTAAGTAGCCAAAATACTTTACTTCAAAGTATGTCTGGGCTCCCAACCAGGTGGCTCTGGTACATTTTCCATCAAGCTTCTAGGTATTAGTTGACTTTCTGTGATAGTCAACAAAGGAGCAGTATGCAGCTCGTAGCTATCCAATCCAGTTGAACTGGAACCTAATTGAGGCGTAATCAGATTGGAGGACGAGAGTGATTGAAGGGCATGTATGCCAGGCATGGAGTCAGTAGGCGTGTCGTTGTTGAGTGTTGAATGCTTTATGGTCGAAGCGTTGCGGCTATGGGTGGGGCTAAGAATAGGACATTCGGCAAGGCTGAGCTGAATACCAGTATTGATTCCAGATACGTTATCTAATTTTTCGGGCCCCAAAATCCCCATGTACTTCTCGTATGAGTAACTCGCCCGGGGTCGGACGTATAGCTGAGAGGCATCTGGATCAACCACCGAGTTTACAGCAGCGTAGTTCCCATCCGTGACAGCCGGATCACCAGGGTTAGGCTGAATTGGAGTGCAGAAATTAGCTGGCTCGGCTGGGATGGCGGTCAGGCTAGCTGTAGATTGTTGGGAATCGGGTTCAGAGTCGCAGTCAGTATCAAGGATAACCTTTTCTATTTTCTCTTCGTCGACAAGGGCCTTTGAAACAGATCTGTAGGAAGACCTGGTACGTGTCGGCACTGTCTTTCCCGGGGTACAATTAGTGAAAGAGGACAAAGCCGACGCAGACGGCAACGACGAAGTAGGGAGACATTCTGGAACCGATCGTAACTCTTTTCTTAAAATGCCTGAAAGCGGTTCTATGGTCAAATCGGTAGGAAGTGAGAACTCCACTTGGCAGGGAACTTTAGAACACCTTGTAGGAGAAGGCGAAGGGGGATGAGAAGTATGGCCTTCAGGGTCTAACCTAGAAGAGCAATCAGGCTCCAATATGGAATAACTCGACCCTTTGATACAACTGGGGGTATTTCCGGGGCTTTCAGGCGACTGGGAAGATGGAACGGCGCCAGCTTGTAGTTTCAAAGGGGTTATAGGGGATACAGGGAAGGTACTTGTGTTCTGGGATAACACATCCGGTGCGTTAAACGCTGGATTCTGTGGCCTCTGGCTATCGTCAACCCCCCGCTTGTTGCAGGCCATAGAGTGTGACGTGACGCCCAAAGTACTAACGTTGTCATTGTAGCCGTTCCCTCGATCCCACCTAAGTTTTGTTTTCTTGTTATTCAGGGCACAAGCCACTCGAGCAAAAGGGCGATATTCCGAGTCCTCACTGCGTACTTTTAATGCATAGCTGGAACTTTTCCATTGCTTTTGGGGCGAGCAGCATCGAGTGGTTTCCAAGGGAAGACCGATATCATGTTCATCATTGCCATTTCCTGTAAGGACATACCCCATCTGAGTTAAAGTGGTATTGTCTGTGGGCTCAACCAAACGTGGGTTTTTGGCTCCCAAAAGCCCTCTCTGTTTTCGATTCTGAGGTAGAACCCGCAGTGTAGACTCATCTTCTTCGGGCTCTTCTTCGATATATTCCAGGTCGCCAAGGTCGCACTTGGGCAAGCCCACAAAGTTGATTTGAGTGAGGGTCTTTTGACTCTCAGTGTTGCCGCCTAAAGATAATCTATATTTTCTCTGCCGCTTCTCTTGAGCGCTGTTTGCTTTCTTTCCGCGGTTGGTGGGCCTTGCGGGTGCATTGAACTTCGCAGCTGGTTTCCCGTCCTTTCTTGTCATGGTTCTGGCTCAGTATTATTGCCAACTGGTGTGCTCCGGGTCGGGACCGGGACGGGACAGTCCCTGCGCTTGAGTGTCGACGCGACAAACGAAGACGCGACGCGCGGATTTACTAGTGGATTACATAATTGCCTAACTACCTTAGCTAGTGCCGGTTGATATATTTTCCACCGCCGGAGATGTAACCCAATCAACGGGGAGAGCCGTGCGGCCCCACTTTAGCTAGTCTCCGACGCGGCTCTGTTGATTCGCTGCTTCTGGCACAATTCAACCAACGAAGCTTGTCACGCCTGTCAACACTACTCAGCTTTTCACTTATCAACTCACACCCAGCTATCACTCAAAATGGTGTCATCGTTGCCTTCTTCTACCCCTGCGGCTGGAAAACTATGGGGCGGCAGATTCTCCGGCGCAACTGATCCATTGATGGTCGCATATAACGAATCGATCTATTTCGACCGGGCCTTCTACGCCCAAGATATTGCAGGCTCAATCGCTTTTGCACGAGCGAATGTTGCTACAGGCATTCTTACTCAAGCTGAATTTGAAGCGATTGAGAAGGGCTTGACCCAGATTCGTGAGGAATGGGAAGGTGATTCATTTGTTATCTCTCCTGGTGTTGACGAGGATATCCATACCGCAAACGAGCGCAGATTGGGCGAGATAATTGGGAAGGACATTGCAGGAAAGTTACACACAGGCCGAAGCCGTAATGATCAGGTTGCGACGGATTTAAGACTGTGGTTGAGAGACGAGCTACGAGCAATTGAGTCGTGCTTGGTTGAGTTGATAAATGCTGTGGCTGAGCGCGCGGACGCCGACATCGAATACTTAATGCCTGGATATACCCATCTACAACGTGGCCAGCCAGTAAGATGGAGCCATTGGCTATTAAGCTTTGGCACTGCATTCATGAACGACCTTGATCGACTACGCGAGGTTATCAAACGCGTCAATCAGTGCCCCCTTGGTTGCGGTGCACTATCAGGAAACGCATTCAAAATTGACCGTGAAGCTATGGCTAAAGAACTGGGCTTTGATGGATTGATCATGAACAGCATGTCTGCCGTTGGTGATCGGGACTTTATTCTCGAGGCTATGCAGTGGGGCTCAACCCTCATGCTACACATTTCTCGTTGGAGTGAGGATTTAATTCTTTACAGCTCCACAGAGTTCTCTTTTGTGCGACTTTCGGACGCCTACACAACTGGCAGTTCTCTCATGCCCCAGAAGAAGAACAGTGACTCGCTTGAACTACTCCGTGGCAAATGTGGTAGAGTTTTTGGTGGGATGGCTGGCCTCATGATGACTATAAAAGGTATACCGTCTACATACAATAAAGATTTACAAGAAAGTGTCGAGCCTATGATTGAGCACGTCAAGACCGTCAAAGATAGCCTACAAATCGCCACCCGCGTGCTTCTAACCCTAACGACGTTTCCCGATAAGATGATCGCAGCATTGACACCTGATATGCTCGCTACCGATTTAGCTGAGTATCTTGTCCGCAAAGGTATTCCATTTAGAGAAACACACCACATAGCAGGCCGTGCTGTTGCCCTGGCTGAAAAACAGCAGAAGCCTATGGACCAGCTTTCTTTAGCTGAACTGAAATCCGTAGATGGACGAATTGGTGATGATGTGCTTGAGGTCTTCAACTACGAACGATCTGTCGAAATGAAGGCTGCTATCGGAGGCACAAGCAAACTCGCGGTACAGCAACAGATCAAGACCTTACGACAGGCATTAGGATTGTAATTCGTATAATGGCTTCACATAGAGGCGATCTCGGCTTTTCTCTTATAAGAACGATTGAGGATTTGGTTATAACAAGATGAATCCAATATTTTAGTATTGATTTATTATATCATACATCATATATTGCTTGAACCTGTCCATCATCATCTCTTGTTCACAAAGGGCAGGAAAAGGGAACAGAAAAGAAAAGAAATCTCTTTCTTAATCTGAAAGGAGCCATTCAGGTTCTGCGTCATCATCTTCTGGGTCATGCGAGATCATCGAATTTTGATCGTCAATCTCACTGTCAGAGTCGTGATGCACTAGATCCGGCAAGCCTGGTATTTCCTCCACGCTTACAGAGCGGCGTGAATCAGTGTGGGATTTATTGGGAAGAGAAAGTCGATTAACTGAATGGCATAAGCTGTGTGTGTGCCCTGCTGATATTCCACCAGGAGAAGCCGATCGGGCTGGTGGCGACGGTGTAGTGTAGATACCTGACGGAGGCCCAGGAATAGCCGGAGTACCCGAAGTATTAGGCTTCGGAATTACCACGAGCGTATACCTGCCTTGGGAAGCTGAGTTCGGGGTAACACTAGTGTGGGAATATATGGCCAAAGTGTCATTGCTGCTCTCGCCTGGATTTTTTATTTGAGACTGCGCTGTAGATATATTGCTCAAGTTTGATGTTTCATTGGGTTTATCAGGTAAAGCTTGTGTTTGCCCGGTATCGTTGCATAAAACCCAACAGCCAGACTCTTTAACATTAGAATATATTGACTCTGTAGCTGCGGTGTCTCCAGAGCTTTCGTTCTCATCTTCGAATGCATAGCTTTGGACACGCTCAGCAATCCTAAGCTTAAGTAAAAGCTGTCTCCACATCAGTAACGCTGCTGCTGTTCTACGATCTTGCTCGGCTTGCACACGTTCATCCTCCAGGGATTCAATTATAGCAAGAAGAGCATCATGATATTCCAGTGAGGCAACAATCCCGTGGAGTATTGCGGTGCCATGTCTGCCTCTGAAGTGAAATCCGGTAACAGCATCCGCATAATCAATATCCAGAATTTTCGCCGCACGAGCTGCATCATCATGCTTCAAATGGAAAGCACCATCTGGCACCATGCTGGGTACATAAACATCAATATTCCCATACACATTTTTCGGTACACAATTATTCACAACGGGGGGGGCGCGATAAAGGTCCGTTTGAAATGCCGCATACAATGGTATTTCTTGAGAGGCTTCGAGGTCATCGTCGTCTATTTCGATGTTTATCTTTTTTTTAGAGTTCGGTACCCGTTTCAAAGGTTGTTCACCGGACTTAACACACCTCCCTTGACGATACCAACCATCTGCACTTTTCACGATATGCACGTCGGACCGACGATACACGGACTCCAGAGGACGTGTTCTGCTTGAAGTAGATAACTTACTAAGGCCAGCTTTTCCAATTTCTCTCTTAGGATGGATAACTTCATTTCTGCGAAGATGTTTTTCCAAAGCATATATTGGATGGTTTTTAAAATCTTGCACATTTCGAGGCATTCCTTCCGCAGCTGCTTTAGCGGTAAGCTCGCCAATCTCTAGCTGGTCACGATCCGCCAGAAACGGGTTCTCAAAGAATTGCATGGTGCTTTCCCACCATGATTCACCGTCTTTGGTACATTCAACTCTTGTTCGGCTTGTTTTCGAGTTGTAGAATTTGGTATAGCGCTTGGTTACGTCACGAGCAGAACCATCTTCTTCGAAAGCGATTACATAGCTCATATTATTATATCGGTCACTCGCTGGCGGCTCAAATCGAGAAGGCTTTGCAATTGTATTGGTAACAAGTGGATCGACAACAACCCATTTTTGCATTGCTTCGTTGAAAGCTTCGACCCAGAAGACCGGGAACGACGACTCGCAAATTGCAGATGAATATATCCCTGCCAAAAAAAAGTAAATTAGATATAACACATTATAAAAATGACAGATCAGCCGTACCAGACGCAACTTTCGGCTTCGGCGCCTTTGAAGGGCCCGGCGAAAACCGCGAATGTCCAAATCTACGTAGCCTTTGTGTTGCTGTTAATTTTGCACTAAGGGAGTTCGAATCGCCAACATTATCCGACTGATTTGAGGGCTTTGTGTTCTCGTCAACAATAACCATGCATTGCCCAGAGTTTTTTGTAGGCAATTCACTTTTAGCCACCCCACTGAAGGGGAGAGGCTGCAGTGAGCAGACAAGTCGAGCATCTACATTTGCACCGCGAAGCATTGCACAGAAAAATTGTGCTCCAAGGTCACGAGATCCTTGTAAGTTCGTAGCTTGTTTTCGAAAATCGGATTTTGAAAGTACGATGTCCGTAGAGGCCGGAAGCGTCTGCTTCAAGTGTTAGTACGAGATTTTTGTATAATAGAGACATGAAGCTGACGCACAATTGAAGTTTCATCTAGATTTTCAAGCCAATAAGACCGTCTCATTCCGGAGGCAGTGATTTTGAATCGTCGATGGAATGTATCGGCGGCTTGTTTTAGGCCATCAGCAAAGGTGGTCGAACGGGAAAATTGTGGCAAATCTTCACTAGGATTGAGACACTGTACTGTGTGCTTCGACAATATGCGCTTGAGATTTCTCTAATGGTAATGTATTAGAGACATGACAGTATTCATGAACGCACTATATTCTGAATACCTGCACTTTGTCGTCATTGCACCATGAATTCCGCAGTTGGACATGGCTAAGAAGACAGAGTAAATGAGTTTTGTGTATGTCCAAACGCCATTTCTTCTCCAGGCCAGATACGGGTTTCCGGCGTGAGACAGCTTTCTGCTTATTCTTTGCCCCAGGGGCTTCCAAGGTAATTTGTAGGGATTCATTGTGTTGAGAATCCGTGGAGAGAGAATTATCCGCTGAATAAACCGCCAGCGGTATTACATCCTCCCATTCTTCCGCGTCCGATTCTTCCGTCGCATCTAGATCGTACACAGTCTGCAGAGGTTTCGTGGACGTTTCTTCAATAGGTTTGGACGGAAATTTTGGTGTTGCTTCACGTACTGCAGCCGTTTTCAGGCTCATCTTGCGTCGTTTTGTCGCCCTATGTGTGTCTTGCGGGTTTGATGCTGCCGAGTCCGCCTCCGCAAGCATGTCTTGGTAGACTTCGGGAATGGGTTCCTCCTTTAAGGAGCGTCGTTTCGTCATATTTGCTTAATTAATCACAACGAAGCGCGATGGGTCACATAATTGATGGAGTAGTCCGCAATGAGTTTGTCTTTCTGGATTCGCTCGCTGCTGGGAGTTGGAGCCTAGAACTCCGGCATAAATGAATAATATTCTTGACATTTCAGCTTCTCCACCAGAAACCTAGGGGTCTGAAATGAAAATGCAGTCTAGGTGCCAACAAAACCTAACCGAAGGGAAACCGGCTTGTACCTCCGCCTGAATATCAAACAGACGAAAAGTTCGAGACGAGCAGACGATTGGCTGATATAAGCACAGCGTCATCGTTATTACATGATTATTTACGTAATCAATGCATCTCAACCCTACACGTGATATCAAACTTTCTGGCCAGGTCAGGTGAAGGTCCAACCCTTGCCGCCGGGGACGAATCCCTGCGCAAAGGTTCTGGCATTATGTCCCATCAATTATTTATAGTTGAACGAAATTTATAATCGCAGCTGACCTGTCATCTAGCTTGCGGATTTGCTTTCATCTACGGAGTACACTATACAAACGCAGTTTTGCATCCATTTTCTAGTATTAATTACTACCAATAAAAAAAGCACGGAGTATTCCGCTTAACTTCTACGTGAATTGAGTTGCAGGGGGTATATATGCGCAATAAATACATACAAATAGTACTTAATCCTGGTGGAACGAGTGATGTGAGAATAATAAAGACCATGCTGGAGGGTACGGGAGTGGGTATAAAAGGATAGAGTTATAAAAAAAAGGGAGCTTTAGTGGAGAGAGTATGAACAAAGCTTGTTAGATAGGCCGCCTGATAGAAACACGGGCATACGGGCGCAGAGCGCACAAGTACAGTAGATAAAAAGGCAGACAAGTAGCCGGCCCAGAAACGACGTACAAACAGGTAGTAGGATAATAAAGACAGGGTACCATTTAATAGCGGAGAATTAAAACAGCAAGCACACAGTGTAGCTAACAACATTAACATTGGGAGGGAAGGGGACTAGAATTGAGCTGTGGTTTCATTGAAAGCTCAACTGGCTTGGGCAGTGTTGGGCTCAGTAGTGGTGCATGGAGGAGGACCTTGGTTTGTTTTCGAAAGCATATTCACGATTCTACGTAAAGCACAATTAGACATCGTCGAAATATTGGGTAATATCCAATTTCACCCCTACCTCGCACTTTCATCCAACATATCCTCGTGTTCATCTTCAAGTTGCCGCAGTTGTTCTTGGATGCTGGCCATCTGTCAAGATTCAATACGTTAATTATGCTTTCGGAATGGGTAATATATAAACAGGAGTATACAAGGTGAAAAGACCCAAGAACGCAACAAAAATCGGGGCATAAATCGGACAACGGGGAAAAGACAGGAAAAGAAACGGGGCCAGCCCACCGTTCCTTGAATAGATGAACCGAGGTCCTCACCTTCCGTAGTGGCTGGACCTGAGTCTCCTGCGACACTATCACTGGATATCACCTTGTTTTCTTCATCGGGAATGGCCCATTTGCTTTCTGCAAGGCCTCCTTTTGATTGGGAAGAGTTGCCATTGGACAGTTGCTTTGCTGCTTCGGCAAGATCGAACTCCAGATCTCGAATGCGTCGGGTACCTTTAGCCGCAGATGTTTCTGCTTCTTGCAATTGCTCAATAAGAGTTATATTCTTCTCACTTAGGGCATTGATGTTCTTTTCAAAATCAGTAAACGTGGCCTCCACCTTCGCTGCTTTCGTATTTGCTTCTGAGACATCAGCTTTTAGCTTTTGCACTTCCGCAATCGCCAACTCATGGGTATGTTTGAGTTGAGTGAGATTTTCGTTAGCAGTTGAAAGCTGTGCTTTAGTGCTTTCTAGCTCTGGCACTAACGCTTCGAGCTGCGAAACAGATGATTTCGTAGATTGTAAGAGCGACTCGATATCAGCTTTTTCTTGTTCAGATTTCGCGAGCTGGGAGGCGCTTCCCGCCAACTTTTCCTTAAGCCGATCAACGGCCGATGTATCCGCGGCAGCTTCCTGAGCCTTTGAGAGTTCTTGCTGAACTTTCGCGAGAGCAGAGGAGTGTGAAAGTTCTGCCGCGGCTAAATCTTCTTTCACCGATGCATGGTGCTCTGCTTTTAGATGTTCGATTTTAATTTCGTGGGCGGCAAGGAGCTCTTCGATCGCTTTTGCGTGTGTTGTTTCTAAATCCTTCAATTTACCAGAATAAGATGTCTCTAATTCCCCGACTTTCTTTGTTTGGGCGTCCTCAAGTTCAGCAATCAAATTTTCGATGGCTACTCTATGCGTTTCTTCAAGAGCGGTAAGTTTGGCTGCCTGTTGTCCAAGGGCAGCGGCATGCCCATCCTTCAGTAATTGTATTTGAGATACGTGCGAAGTTTCAAGGTCACTCTTTGAGACAGAAACTTCGCTAAGCATGGCCTGCATCTCCTTTAACTTACCCTCATGAGATTGAGATAGATCGACTTTAAGTGCCTCTAAGGTAGTATGATGAGCAGCTGATAGGTCGTTTAAAGTAGCAGAATGTTTTTCCTCTGCCAAAGAAAGCTCACTGGTCTTCTCTTCCAAAGATTTGGCGATAGTATCGATTTCGGTAGTCAGCTTCTTCACGATGGCATCATGGTGATCATCCTTTCCCTTACTGTCGACTTCAAAAGCCTCGAGTCCTTTTTGAAGGCCCTCGACTTGAGATTTTTCCGCCTTTAAGTCATCGGTAAGGATCTGAATGTGTTTATTACTTTCAGATAACTGCGTCTCCAAAGTTTGTATCTTATCTTCTAAAGATCGGGTTAGACTTTCTGAGGCTGCCTTTTCGGCGGCCTTAGTCTCCTCCTGTGATTGTTTGGAATCCGCAAGGGCGGTCTCCGTTTCGAATAGCTTATTCTGCAAAACTTGGAGGTCGTCTTGATGTGTTATTTTCAAGGAGTCTAGCTCGGCTGCCAAGCGACTTTTGATCTCAACCAGCTCGGAAACTTTAGCTTCATGTTCTGCTTGAGAACTCTCATGCCCTTTGGTCAGGCTAGCCAATTCTTTGTCTTTGGCTTCTCTTAGAACTTTCGTCTCATTTATTACCTCCGCAAGTTGCTGTTCATGTGTGGCAGCCAAGGTAGCCAAGGTAGAATCATGCTCGGCCTTTAATGCTGCGAGCGCACGCTCATGCGCTGTGCCGAGCTCCATTATCTTTTTATCATGCTCGTCAGATTTTGCCTCGTGAAGCTCTTGGATACGATTCTGGAGATCTTCGATGACTTTGCCAAGACGTTGAATCTCCATGTCCTTACTAGTTAACATCCCGGTAGTTTCTGCTGTACCACGAGCCGTGTTTGCTTCGGTTTCGGACAGTTTCTCCTCAAGCAACGCAACTGTGTCTTCAAGCGCAGCGACCTTTTGAGAGTATGACTCTTGGGCTTCGAGAAATTCCTTGTCTTTTGAATCCTTAAGAAGCTGAATTTCATCTTTTAAGTTATTCATAACCGTGTTCTGGCCCCTCAATTCGTTTTCGAGTTGCGAGACTTTGCCCTGCTGCGTTTCAATAACAGCTAGCTTCTCCTTTTCCGTGGAATCTTTCAGGGTGTCTAGCTCTCCAGTACGGGCGGCAATGTCCGATTTGAGTGTCTCTATCTGGCTTGAGAGCTCTTTGTTGGAGGAAAGTTCAGCTGAGAGCTGGCTTTCAAGCTTTTCAAGGGATGCTTGTTGATCAGCTTTCTGCTCTTCTAGAAGCGCTGTATTTCTAGCGTCACCCGCCTCAACTGAGGATTTCAATGTTTCCAGGTCTTTAGCCGACTGAGCGGCTAATTCTTGGTATTTTACTTCGGACTCCGCCAACTTTTTCTCCCAGTCCTTGATCTCCTGAGAGTGCAATTCAGTCATGTTGGAGATTTGAGTGGAATGTTCTGCCTGGACAGCGGCAGCTCCCTCGTCTGCAGACTTCTCTAGGTCAGCACTTTTCTTTAAGGACTCGTCAAGCTGCTTCTGCAGTTCAGCGAGCTTATGTCCGCTTTCTTCTAGCTGCGCCTTTAAGGTAGCGACCTTGTCAGGTTCACAGCTATTGGTAGAATCATGTGCCCTGATCTCTAACTCATCTTTAAGCTTCGAGACCGCAGAGTCGATATCGGTTTGAATTTCGTCACGTTTAGCCCCTTCTCCAGCTTCATCGGCAGCAATAGCCGCCAGAAGCATCGCTTTAATAGCCCCATATTCTGTAATTCGCTTTTGCAGTTCGGGAGATTTTGAGGTAAGTTGGATTTCGGTAGATCGCCTCTTCCCTACCGGAGTTACTTGGGGAGCAACTCGCCTTTTAACAAGATCGGAGCTAGAAATTGAAACCCTACCGGTCGTCGTGGGCCTTGTAGTACGTGTGCCTGTGGATTGAACTGTGGCCGAGGACCGGGGGGTAGACTTTGATGGGCTCTGAGTGGTAGAAAGAGCAGTACGAGTGGCAGTAGACTTTGCAGGGGGTGTAGCAGCTACCTTTCGGTCCGATCCCAATGGTGTGGGCTTCAGAGGGGCCCTAGTGGAAGTCCCGGTGAGTGACATTCGCTTTGCAACAGCTGGCCTCCGGTTCTCATCACCTGACGTCGTGATACGACTGGCTCTCTCATCAGCAGAGCTACCAATGGAGACACGTGATCGGTGAGAACCTGTCGTGGCCGGTGTTCCGCTCGAAGGAGGCCGTCTAGTAGTGGTTGTACCAGTAGGTCGAATTGGTGGTTTGGTAAGGGTACTTCCGGGGGCAGCACGGGCTGACGCTGACACGGGTTTAGAGGTTCGACTTGTTGCTGTTGTAGCGGCCCTTTTTGGGCCATTACTAGTCGAAGGTCGTTTGGAGGGCGTGTTTTTTAGCTCAGAAGGGTCTGTTGGCTTATCTTTATCTGCCTCGGATTTTGGTTCTTGAGAATCTCCCCCATTCTCATCAGGCGTATCTTTTTCAATGGGTTCCTCAATTGGGACTAATATTTCGGCGGAGGCCATTGCAGCGTATCGGGAGTGCGTTATTAGTATCGTAATCGGAAGCAAAGGGCACAGTTGGCAGTGGTCTGCAAGTTTTACGCAAATTTACAGCTTCCTGGAAGAGGCACAATGCTGTTAGTGCAAGTATATCTAGAAAGAGTTCGCATATTAAATAGTCTCAGAAATAGGGATTGTGAAATTTAAAGGCACTAGTAGCTGCAGTAAAAAGTGTCCATAGTGATAGCATTGTGAAATAACAATGGGGGAACTTTGGACATGTCAAAGTCCTGTCCACAAAAGGAAGAGCATCAAATAGGGGCTTAAGCAGATAGTAGTATCGGCTGTTTGCATAAAGGACTAGGCACCATATATCAATGAATGGCATAGAAAATTATTTAACGTACTGAACGGCCCGTATCTGCGAGCTCAAAACGAAGAAGGAAGAAAAGAAGCAAGAAGCAATTCCCAAGTCCTGGAATAGAATGGTTTCCTGCGAGAAACCCCTCTACTGAGGTATGGAAGGAAACCGAGGATCACGAAGGGAAAAGGTAAGGCGTTCGGGACAAGATGGTGTGGAGGGAAGGAGGAGCGGCTCCGATTTGTTGAAGAAAGACGGACTGAGATGCTCTGTGATTCTTGTCCTGGTGAATTTCCAGGATGGTCCTTGAAACCTATTGGTGTGCGGTCAGAGACGGGGGTTTCAGGATCTTTGCAAGTCGTTGACTAGTTAACTATAGTTTAGTTACCCCTGTTGTGATTGAACAGCGGGCATACACAGTGCACGTCAAATTACTGCCACGATTACTGCGGAAGGAAATTGAAAGAGAGCCCAGCAGGTAGCAAAAATCTGGGAGTAGTATAACATCCAACAACAAAGCAGACCGCCAATGGCGCGCTGGAAGTAAACAGCAAGACGAAGAAAAGGAGAAACCATGGATTGTGGTTCGGCAGGGGAGCTTCTTAGTCAACGGACTAGCGAACCGGTCACGTGAAAGCGGCAACGGCCGATCAAATACGGTGCGGGGTGTACGAAATGCTCCGAACGGAGAAAGCAAAGGGACCTTATTGACATCCTCAGGGCCCTCGAACGTCGCAGAGAGCGGTTCTTATCGGTGCTGTCATTGTGTCTAACTATACCTGGAGCATGCGCCCCTCGCGCAGTGATCGGCCTCCCATTCAGCTCGGCAACAGGGTGAGGGAACCCCACGCCTTCATGCACAATAAGTTGCCTAGCGCTGCAGCAGTCTACTGAAGGTTGACGTCGTGGTTCCAGCCATCACCTCGTATTATGGCTCGTGCGATATGGGCCTTCCGGGCTAGCGTATTGAGGATGGTTTTTGGGCAGCAATTTCTGAGGCGATGATGCGGCATAAAACTTAATAGGTCCTCCGTTCGTATGATAATACCTGAGTGCATTCTTCCACCATGTCAGCCAAATCGAATATAACTGGGATTTCCCTGTTAGGCATTGCTATGTGTATTTCTTATAAAAGACAATTTTATATTGCACAGAAATCACCCTGCCATACTATATATCTATAGGTGAATAAATGCATCCAATGACGGATCGATCTAGGGAAGTTGAGAGAATCACGCCGTGCTCCAAGCTCCATGCAACTCCATTCAATACTGCAACATAGTTCCGACCCCCTTTCTGCTTTTCTGTTCTTCAAACACGTATGCTAAGAACCGGAAAAGAACCCTCGCCACGGCCAGTCGGTCAGGAAATCGTACAGCTGAATAATTGCTTGGATCGATGATTGTGCACATATCAGAAAATCCCCTCAGTATTAACAATACCTGGTTGATTCCTTTTCTGGAAAAGCTGCTGTTAAGAAAGTGCGCCATTAGGCATGACTGAAGCAGGCCCACACCCGCTGGAAAGACATGGCCATGTATTTCCTCCACTAATGTTTGAAATTTCGGGGCAGCTTCTCGTTGGAGAATATCCAGTCTACCTGGAGATAGAAGGGTTATAAGCCTGTTAGATATAGTATGGAGGATCGCAGCCTCCTTGTCTGTAACCTCCGCGTCGTCCACGTTATCATGTCGTACACCCGTACTAAGAGAGTAGATACTCTTTGCTTCTAATATGCTCGCCAGTAGCAGAATCGTGGAGTGGTTATTAACGCCAATTTTCCGCTTCTCAGCGTCATTTCTCATCGCTTCCGCCTCGCGGACAAGATTTGACCAGTTGTCCTCTTGCTCAAAGACACGGCTTGCCGCCCTAAAAAAGCAATAGTCACGAGTAAACCAACAGTCGTCTTCCAAATCATCAAGGCTTTCAGAGTATTTCTCCACATCGTTATGGCACAGCGCTACTTGCATGGGGCCCTTAGTGCACGGCGAGATGTCCCAATCGGCGGGGCTATTACGAAGGCTGGCTTCAAGGGCTGGAGGAGGTGCCGTAGTAGAGTCACTTCCATCGATGTTAGCTCCATCCATCGCTTCATGCGGCGTGTCTGCGATGCTTTTGGTCGTCTCTTGTTCGGCGTAGTCCGCCCTGGCAACCCTCCTCTTCTTTGGAAATCTCCATGCCATGGCCCCGTTCTCATCCGCAGACTGCTCCCCACTGCTTTCATCACTCAATGCAAAGCTCTGTTGAGATGCAATTCGCACCCTTCGCGTCATTCGCTTCTCATATGCCTTCAATGAATAATTCACAGCGGGCAACCGTCGAAGATTGCGACCTCTTTCGGGTACCGGCGAGAGAGAGCCGGTGGGCGACGCCATTCGGGACAAGGGTCCGATATCCGTACTGCGAGCCAATCGTTTCGCCGGTGCTGAGCGTTGCAGCGGAGGCGTGTTTTTGAAACTATTCAGTAGATCGACTGTTAGTTGTGAACAAGCCTCGACGGTCGCAGCTCTGCGGTTGCGCACAGAGGACATGCTGAGTGCAAGTCTGGTCGGTCATTTCCGCACTGGAAGTTTCTAGACAATGAACTAGTTATGCATAATGAGACGGTATTTACCGATAGCATGCTCAGTTGGTTTAGTTAACTACTATGTAGCTTGTCAGCGAGGAGCTTCGTGGTCAATGTCAACAAACTAATTAACTACGGAGTACGGAGTACTCCTTAGTGAGCTCAATTTGAGTTCGCGGCCTAAACTGACAACACGTCCAGCTGTTTGCGTGGGGCATCTTTCATTATTACATAGGTCATGGAACCCGCCAATATCTTGATCAGATTTGCTCGCAGCATCTACTTCTACCATGACAACAACCAGAGATATTCCTAATTCGCCATTACTTCAACGCCTGGATTCTACGGCCCCACATGCATTCGAAAAGCCTTCCAAACGAATATATGACCACCAAGATGTCTCTACCTTCCTTACCTCCCTCGCCTACAGGGATATCATGACATTTATTCTCCAGCTGAACCGATCCATGGTGCCAACAAAAACCATTGAAAACGGTTCACCAAAGATACAGACATGGCCCCTAGGTTCATGCGCAATTAGCTTTTCAGAACCCGTGAGGCAATTACAGCTTCTACTGACGAAGTTAGAGGCCATAATCATCGAAGTTCCTCCTGACACGGGGCCACGGAGATTCGGCAATATTAGTTTCCGCAAATGGTTTGAGGAGATGGAGTTACGGGCTAGTTCCATGTTAGACGAGTGCTTGCCCTCTGATGTGCTGCTACGTGGGGCACAAACCCCAGATTCTGTGACAGCAAAGGTGGAACTGATGGCATATCTTACCGGCGGTTTTGGGAGCCCTCAACGTCTGGACTATGGCACAGGGCATGAATTAAGCTTTTTGGCATTTCTTGCTTGCCTGTGGAAGCTGAATGCTTTCTCAGCGAGCGACTCGGGAGCAGAAGAGCGAGGTATAGTCGTTGGTGTTATAGAACCGTAAGTGCGCTTAAGATATATATTGCATCGCGGGATAAGTCAACTAACTATTTACTGTCAAAAGATATTTAAAACTCATTCGTCATTTGATTATCGCCTATACCCTCGAACCTGCCGGCTCCCACGGTGTATGGGGTCTCGACGACCACTCTTTCATTCCCTATATTCTTGGTTCTGCCCAATTGGCACCGGCATGTAGCCCATTACAAAAAACACCTATTGAGGGCTCCTTAGAAGATGCCCCTGCTCCGAGCTCTACCGCTAAGCCAAATGTCGTAGAGCGGGAAAGAAAAGCCAATATGTATTTTGCGGCGATCAGCTTTATCAATGATGTGAAAAAAGGCCCCTTCTGGGAACATAGTCCAATGCTATATGATATATCTGGCATCAAGGATGGATGGGGTAAAATCAATAAGGTATCTTTCTGTTTCGAGGCAATTTCCCGTTCATGCACTGACTGTTTTTTAAGGGAATGATTAAGATGTACAATGCAGAGGTTTTATCGAAATTTCCTGTCGTACAACATTTTCCTTTCGGCTCTTTGTTCCGTTGGGAGAAAGACCCCAATGCTGCTTCACCACTAATGCCTGCCCAGTCGTCTTCCTGTCATTCCCAACCAAAGAATACTGCGGCTCCTACAGTATCAGACTCCAGATCGGCTGTGGACGCGGGTACTAAAGCCCCCTGGGCCTCAATGGGCCCTCCACAAACATCAAACTCTGCTACTGCAAGAGGTCTATCTAGTTATGGAATTTTACGTAACCCCTCTGCTTCCACGCAGCCTCCTTGGGTCTCACAATCGGTAGAAAATTCTACATTAAATCCTCTCCCACCGGCCCAAGCACCCTGGGCTGCGACAACGCCGCCAGAAAGCGGGTACGATCCGGACTCCGCAACCACCAAAGCTCCATGGGCAAAGTAGCAGCTAGCGAGTATATGAAAATTGAGCCAGTTGGTCTAAGAGATAGGGATTGCTAGGTAGCCGTGTAATGAACTTCGATAGTTGTACGATAAAGATCTAATATCACTCAACAGAATGTAATACACAGGTCTCCAGGTATAGATAATTATGATAGTGATGATGAAATACACAACGTCATCCGGAATGAGTTTCACACTCAGAATCTAATAAACCTTTTCATTTAATGATTCTACTCCGTAGTGCCATCTTACCAGAACAATGCTAGCCACCCAAAAACGTTGTAAAACTCCCACAATGCACCGAGACCGGGCTGTGCAAATGCTATCATATCAATCCGTATCAGAGTCATAATCCACTAATGTCACCATATTAGACAGAACTGAAGCTTTTGTAGCTTCTAGCGACGAGGTCCTAGCCGTTCTTCTATCCCTACTTACACCATTGAGTTTGTTATCTGTTTGATTCATGACAGTAGATTCCTCTTCAGTATTGCCCCGAATAGCAGCGCCATTGTTCGCACTCCTTTTCTGCCTTTTGGCACCAGGCTTCCAATCTTCGTCTATATCCTCAAGGAACGGATCCATAGCAGCTTTCGTGTTACCCTTTAATTCTTCCTTCAATAGAACTATTTTTTTGGTAGCTACCTCTGCAGCAGGTTTGCGAGAGACCTTTCCCAGGCTCCCTTTCAAATTATTTGTATTGTGCTCTTCCACTGTAGAGAACAACGGCCGTGCCCGAGATTGTGTGGAAAGACCCTCGGCCGGTGTCGAAGATGGAGACCCAAAATCAATCATGCCGGCACGGATGCCATCATCGTCTATCTCTTCGACTAGGTCAATTCCGAGACTCATTTTGTCGCGCAATGTTTCCGCTTTCTCGAGTGCACGCTCTCTGCCTTTTCTCCCTTCTCTGAATGACCGTCTCAGATTTCTCGATTTTTCGTACGGGTCTTCCCAGTCTCTTGCTTGCCTGACTAGGAGCTCCTCTATCCGGGTTTGCGCAGTTGCGTATTTGTTCTTATCAACAACCTTACTCTCAAATTTTGCGAACGGATCCTCCACAGCCTCTTCCTCACCGGGAAGCTTTATCCGGATCTCCCCAATTCCACCCTCTTCATATTCGCCTTTTGTAAACTCACTGGTAGCTTTTCGCCGGGCTCCCTCCGTCACGACATACTCTGTATTCTTAGGATCTGTTCTGATCTCAATCCAACCCCCACATGGCCCATGTTTCATCCGAAAGCTATATATAGGCGTCGAGTAGTAGTTTCCAATCTTTTTCTTCTCAGCATTGAATCGCACACCCTGCCCAATGAGCACTGAATCTGCCGGTTGGCAGGTGGAACACCATATGGCAAAGGGCATTTCAAATCGCACGACCAGCGCACCGGTGGTGTGAAGATGGCGTGCACGAGAACCGAGGGCATGTTTTCCAGCCAGTTTATTACCGGTAGTTAGGCCTTCTTGGTCGGGAGGGACATAGCTAAAGATGCGTCAGAGAGGCGATTCGAAAAGTGCCAACAATGTAGCCCCACCGTCCCATATCTAGTAAAGAAAAACATGTCAGCACAAATCTTCAAAGCCAATAAGAGAAACAAATCACGTACTAAAGCCCTGCATCTTGAGAGACTCTACGGTGTAGCCGTATGATGTGTGATAAGAAACCCTGAAATAGGCTGTAGGCAGCAGATATTGAATATTACTCCGCAGCTAGTTAGCTAGTTAGTTACTCTCTGGTTGAACCTAGCAACTTTAACTAACTCTTAAGTAACTATTCAGAAGTATTAACTAAGCTTTACCATCTTGACTGTCTGGCATTTACAAATGTTACAATAAATCTTCTATCAGTCGCTACATTGCATACTTAGCTATCTTGAAATGGCCCTTACTACCCTTTTCTTTTTATTGCGAAGTCACGTCGCTTTAGTTCCCATGATCAAGATAGGATGACGAAAAACTACATATCTATTCAACAGCAGCTATGCTCGTCTCTAGTTAACTATGTACATTGGATTCCTTTTCATCTTCCATCGTGCCAGCAACTGCCTTAGTCCAAAGAGCGACAACTATTTGTTATACCAGTCTCACAAACTGCCTTCATATCCCCTACATGTTTACCAATCCAGAGCTTTACACCTTGACCAGCGCGAGGGGCTTTCCAATCTTGCACCACCGTGTCCCAGACACTCACGTCCTTTCTCGTGATTTCCATAGTCAGCACCTCACTGTCTCCGGGCTGCAGAGATTTCGTTTTTTCAAACTGTCGCAGCTGGTATTTTGGGGTGGGATAGGAGCCATCGACAGGCAGCTCGACGTACAACTGAACAACTTCGCGCCCAGCTTTCTTACCAGTATTGGTGACCTTGACGGATACTACGAAGACCACGTCCCAAAGCGCGGGATTACCGCCCTCTCCGCCCCCAGCTCGTGGTCCGGGCTTAGGTGTCGTTGAATACCCATCTGGATACGGGTAGTCCGACTTTGGTTTGATGCTGGAAGGATTGTTAAGGTAGGGATACAGATAACGCCAGATTTTTTTCAAGTCCTTTGGCCATTCTACTTCGGAGGCTGGCGGGATGCTGTTAGAATATGCGGGAGCATCACCCTTTGGCTTGCGTGGAGGAGGATACTCGGTGAGTGGGGTACGCACGGCCCACGTAGCGTCTGAGAAGTCAAATGTTGTGTACGACAGACCATAACCGAAATGATATTGAGGAGTGATGTTTGCTTTCTGGAAATGCCGATAATCGATAAACAGTCCTTCCGAGAAGGGGTCCTGTATCTGTCCAAATGGCTGATTAATGAGGGACACACTTTGAGGATAATCAGACTCTGCTTTCGGAAGAGTGTACGGCAGATGACCACTCGGACTGAAATCTCCAAATAAGATGTCTGTTATGGAATTTCCGGCCTCTTGTCCAGGGAGATGTGCAAACAGGACGCTCTTGACGGAGGGAAGGTCTATCCACTTGTCCATGAGAATAGGACCCACGGTATGAACGACAACCACTACGTTTGAAAATTTCTTTGCGGCAGCTTCAATCAACGCATCTCCGCCATGCCAGAGGTTCAGCTGTGCAGTCGTTCGATCTCCGGGGTTCAGCTCAACAATTAAATAATTTTCGCCCGAATTAGCATTCACGAAAACAATGGCGACATCGTCTGCCTTTGCTTCGACTCTATTTGGAAACCTGTCAGTGATATAGAACTCGGCGGTATTCGAGATGTTTCTAATAGCGTCTTCGGGTGTAATCAGATACGGAAGATTCGAAGTTCCACTACCCCAGCCCATTGTGAGGACCCCTTTGTTGCAAGCTTTGTCAATACAGGAATTAATACCCTGTGGGTTTGTGCCCGCATCTGTTCCAAACACCTTCAGGGACCGATTGCGACTCAGAGGCAGCAAGTTATCTTCGTTCTTCAGTAAGGTGATCGAATCTCGAGCAATCACTCGGGCCAACTTATGGTGATCCTTTTGTACATTGACATACTGATTCAGAACTCCAATGGGGGAAAATAGCGCGCCAGGATATATGAGCCCAGTTGCTTTGTTCGTGTAAGTGGAAAAATTTGGCAAAGGAAAGTTTTTGTCCTGGCCAAGTTTATACCATGTGGCTACAATTCTAGACACCTAAAGAGAACATCAGTCTTGAGAAGATCGACAAATTATACTACCGCTAACTCTTACCATGTCGTTTAGGCGTTCAAGAGGGACTGTCCCATTCAAGACCGAACGAGAAAGCTCCGCGCCCCAGAAGCTGGCCCCGAACAATGGGATTGTCACATCGCCTGGCATGCTCATATCCAAGCCTGCTAAAGCGGAAGAGACACCCCCAATATGAGCAAACCAGTCTGTCATGACAAAGCCTTGGAAGCCGAGTTCATCTTTAAGAATACCGTTCATCAACATGCTGTTTTGGCAACTTGATGACCCGTTGACCTATTAATAGTTAATGCAATGAAATGCCAGCGGGAGCGGTGTGCAGTACATCATTATATGCCATCATAACAGATCCAACTCCAGCACGAACTCCTTCAGCAAATGGCCACAGGTATAGCTCATGCAGAGTGCGGTCGTCAATATTCGCCGAATATGCTCTTTGGATGATGTTGGTCATCCTATACATCTCCTGCTCGTTTCCCACCAGGTGCTTGATTGTTGCAATAACACCGGTGCTTTGAACGCCCTTAATGGTCTCGGCACCAGCTATGGCTTGAAGGGACGGGTCTGAGCCAAATCCCTCCCAGTTTCGTCCACCCCGTGGCTTGCGTCCAAGGGGACCTACAGAAGGTCCTAGGTGAATATTAACGCCTTTTCCACGGAACTCTTCACCCAAGGCCCGTCCTCGGTCGTACATGAGTTTCTTATCGAAAGTCGCTCCTACGGAAATTCCTGCCGGAAATGCAGTATTGTGGTCCGTGTTTCTAAGCCCCAACGGCCCGTCCTGCAGACAAAGCCTGGGAATCCCAAAACGGGGCGCACTGCCGGTCTGGCCAACGCATTGACCCATCAAATAGCCAGTTCCTGTTGTAAGATTCACCTTTTCTGCCAACGTCATTTTAGAAACGACTGCATGGGCTTTGGCGTATGCTTCTGCCCAAGTTGACACCCAGCCACCCCTGGGCGTTGGATAGTATGGAGGAGAGCGAAAATCGGCTGGAACGTCAGCGCGCGTGTTAACATGTCCGGTACCCGTCGGCACTGCGATCGATGGATAGACATGGCACACAAGCCAAACAAGAAGGGTAGCAACCCATGTCATGGCCCTATATGATAGAACCATTCTATATTAACGAATAAGATATTTTTTAAAAAACAGAACGAAAGAGATTTAGGTCATGGTAGAACATAACAAACCACTGCAGCTGGAGCGGGCACGAAAAATATCCTACAATAAGCCCCCAGGAGAGATGGGGTACGTGTACTTATGTATGTACGGAGTACATACATCCATCCCCAGAGTCCACGGATCTTGCAAATAATAAAGGGAGCCCGATAACATGGCTCATGACATGTGAGAGTTGAGGAAACAAAAATCACTTGTTTCTCATCCCGCTAACCTTCAAGAACTAGGGTACGTTCGGCAGAGCATCCCCGCCCCCCATGCGACTTGTGCCGGGGAGCTCGTTCGTACCCTGGAACTTACCCTGCAGAGCCAGGATAAACATGAGTTGGTGTGCCACGCGTCTTTGATCCTTCAAGGCAGCCTCTTCTACGGAGAGAATGAAGAATAGAGACTATCATCGTCGCTCAGGATGGAATTAATGTCAGTACATAGATATTCCAGAAGCCCTGGGGTATGCGTATTACCCAATAGCAATAGCAACTTGACTCTCGATCGAAGAACGGTCGCATGATTGATTATCCGGACTAACTTGTTAGCTCTCGATAAATTTTCAACTCATTGCGACTCTACCATAGATTAGGGCGGCACGATGGAACCGCGAGGCTGGGCGCAGATCATCATCCCTTCTGTTGTCACAAGGCCTGAGGGATTCTGCATATTGGAGGATTGCTCCCTTATTCCAGTGGACAGGCCGATCGGAAAAGGGAGTACATTGGAGTGAGCCTTGTCACAGGTGTACCACAATCCAAAGAATGCCAAACTGATAGGCACAAAACCTATGCTTTGTTTGTCATGTGGAGTTGTCCGCAAGATGTTTCTTCTAGAAGATAGTTGGTGTGAACTAACTAGCTGACTATTTATTAACTAGTTAGTTTAACCAGCATAATAGAACAAAGCGCCTCTCCCATGTGCTTCGAACTACCCCTAAAACATCGCCAATAATCCTACCAACACGACGGTTCCAGCAACCACACCATTTCCAACCATACGGCTCGATGCCGCGTTCAGGGTCTGCACGGCAGGCATGCTCCCTGTCGCTGACCCGGATTTTGACACGACCACAATGCTCGTTGCGTTTGCGATCGCTAAGGAACTGGTGGTGATTCGGCCCGAAACGCTTGTCACTGAAGCGGTGCCTGAGGCCGCCTCAGTTGGCCCGGTGGCCATGCTCGTCACGGCTGGGGAGCTGGTGCTTGAGGGCGCGCTGACGGCAGTGGAGGACGCGGGCACGGACGACGAGGGTGTCACGTCGGTTGGCACGGACGCGGCCTCGCTCGCAGTGCTAACAGGTTTCGGCGTAGAGGACGCGGAGGATGGTGTGGGCAGGGCGAGGAACCGGGGCGAATACGTCTCAGTGCCCGTGTAGGCAGCGCATCCTGGCACGCTGTACTTGGGCGGGGCGCGGCCGCCACCGCAGTCCAAGAGCTCGCAGACCTCGCCTGTTCCGGGCACGTACCACACGTTGACGGCGCGCGAGAATGAATCCACCGAGGTCGTGCTGGTGCAGCCCTGGAGATTGGTTTTTGCGAATGCGAAGAAGGAAGGCAGCGCTAAGCAGCCAAGAATAAGCTTGCTGAGCATTTTGGATTTCTGACTTTCGGCGGATTATTTTGTCTTTTTTTGGCAGGGCGGAACACTGAGGTCTTTTTTGCTTTTGAAACAATTTCGTCTTAAAAAAACGAGTGGCAGCAGTTAGCAGGCAAACGAGAGAAACGGGTCGGATGGGATTTCGTGGCCGTCCTGGCAGCGGCTCCCTGATTTATATGGCCGCTGTCGCCTTCTGAGCGGCATTTGCGGCCTCGCCTTGGAAACTTGATGTTCAGATTCAGGGGCAGCGCCTCGGAAGTATGCAGGCCCGGCCAATAACAGCGGCTCGCCAGCGCCATCGTCTGGCTGGAGTTGGCTGGCTCGTAGCTAGCTGGCACCTAGCCGGAGTAAGAATGCCGGGTTCTCCAAACGCCGCGATAAATAGTAATCATAATCCCGCAGTTTTGATACAGGTGTGGTTATTTTTAGGTCGACGGCGTTGCTAGTGGGAGTTGTGAAACAATGAGGTTGTTTGGTGAAGACAAATGGTCTTTTACCTACTCCGTACATACACATTTAATGATCAAGTTATCTCACAAATTGGCTGAGTAAACTATAGAACCGCGGAGTACTCGGTGGTCAGTTAGCTATCTAGCGATGTCAGTGGCTGTCTTGCTGTGTTATCCAACTAGTTAACTAACTACTCCGTACACCTCCAACCCATTCTTAAAACAGCCGACCAATTTAGCAAGAAACTGGAACAGCTATTAGCCTTGCAGAATGCATTTCTTCAGATGACAAAGTAAAATACTATCTAGAACACGCCAAGCTAATGAACAATGTTATTGATTGATATTAACTGTCTAGATCTTGCTCTGACCCCTGGATTGCTTTTGTTGAAATGTTGAGGGAATACGGGGTATGAACTGTTGAATAAACATCTCTATCCGCTTTAATTGCTGAAATACCCGGGGAACAACCAAGACAACCTCGCTAATGCTTCCGGGTTCATGTGACCAGGCACGGTGCTAAGACCCATCTTTACTGTTCCCTCCAGGTGTTTGCCCCAAGCAAGATCGTGGTGCTCGTCTTTCGTTAGCTCGTCCAAGACGGCGCCGATAAATCTCCGCGCATTGACTGCATTGGCCTTCATGTTGGCCATCACAATTTCGACCGTCACGTCTTCCTCTGAGCAGTGCCAGCAGTCGTAGTCGGTTGACATGCAGATCATTTGATAGGCGATTTCGGCTTCGCGGGCAAGTTTCGACTCGGGAACACAAGACATGTTGATTACGCTGCCGCCCCAGATACGGTAAAGATTGCTCTCTGCGCGGGTGCTGAATTGGGGGCCCTCTATGATGCGGAGCCCTGGTCAGTAAAGAGCCATGGGGATGGGGGCAAAAATATAAGCAACATGATCAAAATCAATACGTACCCATGCAGACCAATGTGCCTTGGTCGTGGAGTACCACGCCCTCACCCTCTAGGCTATGCCCACAAGCGCGAACAATCTTTGCGAGGCCCTCGTCAAAGGGATCTGCGAAGCCAACGTGTCCGACGGCCCCTCCCTCAAAAAACGTCCACGGCCTCACACCTTTTGTCCGATCAATTACTTGATCCGGAACCACAAAGTCTCTGGGCTTAATGGCTTCCTGCAAGCTGCCCACGGCAGAGAACGCGATGATGCTTCGGACCCCAATAGATCGAAGCGCTGCGATATTGGCACGGCTTGGTACCTCATGCGGTGCGAATTCGTGGTGAACGCCGTGGCGACTAAGAAAGGCAATGGGAACGGTCTTGCCGGTAGTGGAACAAGTGTGATGAAGAACGGTGATGGGAGAGGACGGGTTGCCCCATGGCGTGGACACGGTGAGACATGCGACTTGAGTGAAGCCAGGAAGCTCGCGCAGGCCCGTGCCTCCGATAACACCGATATGGACAGGATCTGAGCAGAGAATGTGAGCGACCGAATGATGCGCGCGGGGGGCAAGTCAGGGGAGGGAGCATACCAGCGTATGTGGTGGGAAGTTCCGCCATTCTCCTAGCTCTTTGTTTCGGGCTCTCGATGGCTCGTCGGTACGGATAGGGTCTGGCGGAGAGGGCAATGCAACGGCGCAGGGCTTGCATGCGGCGCGCGACGGGGTTTTTCAGCGCGGAGATGGAGGGGCAGCCTTCGGTAGCGGGGAGGGCGCGCCCCGGGCCAGTAGGGGGCGGCAAAGCTTAAACGGCCACGCGGAGATAAGATTAGGGCTTCGAGGGTACTTCCGGTTCGCAGCGAAACGGGGTTGATGGTTTGATATCAACAGCAGGGTGATACTGCTCGAAGAGACTTGTTTGTGTACTCCGAGATCTACAATAAGACACATTTCTGATTCTCTTGCTATCTGCGTAACATCAGTCGAATACAACTTTTTTCCCCTGAAAGCTTGCCTGATTCTTTTTCTCCTTGGCTAGTCTCGCTGCCTCCCATGAAGGATGCAGTGGTTTCTGCTCCCGCGGTGGTTGAATTTGCCTAGGCGGATTCGCAGGCCGAGGGGCGCTTTTATGGTCTACCCTAGAATGATGACCAGCAACCCGCCTACCATTACCACGCCCGCGTCTTCGGTCTTCCTGCGACATTGCCCCTCGACGCATGTCCCAACCGCTATCGCGAGCGCTGCTTTCGGTCTGCTTACGCACATGGTTGGCGCTTGCACCGTACTTCTTCTCCCACAATTTTCGCCGAGCTTGCTGGCCCATTCGGTTCTTCCGTGGTGCAATGGCTTCGGCGGCCTCATCGTCCTCCGCTTCGGACTCCGTGCCGGACCAGTATCCACCCATTGTAAGGGAAGGTAAAAATGTAGTTTCTGATGCTTTGTCCTTCGACTTTGAGGGCTTCTTGGTCTTTGTCGCAGTCGCTGGAGGGGAGTCTGAATCGGCGATTGAGGGGGTAGGGGAAAGCGTCAAATCCTTTACGGGGTCATAGGCTAAGCTATTCTGGTGACTGTTCTCATTATCAATATCACTTTGTCCCCCACGATCACTATCGTTGCTGGCAAATTCCGAACCCGAACTTGAGGCGATGCGATTTTCAAACTGCTCGAGGTCAAGCTCGTCATTGTAACCCCCAGACACATTGCTATCTTCATCAATGGCAAGTGCCTTCCGTATTGGGGTATCTGTGTCATGCTCCAGAGCTGTCCTTCTGGCACAATCGATCATTTTCCTCTCGTCGGGCTTTACCTCAGTTGAAGATTTGGTATCGTCCAAGCCCAATATTTCCCGAATGCCAGCCATTATGCCCGGCATAATTGTCTTGACAGGATTGGAATTGTATAAGCGCGCTGTAACATTTGCTGCAGGTCCATCCTTACTTCCGTCGAACAGATTTTGCCTGGAAATATCTAGCTGGGCAAGGACTGGTGAGTCTGCGATTCGCTTCGTCTTCACTAGCTGCTTTATTAGGTGCCTCTGTGAGATTTGTAAAAGATCCAGTGACTATTGACGTACCAATTAGTAGGAGTTATTGCGGGAAATTATAAAACCTCACAGTCATCTCACCTTCAAAGCCTGCACCTCTTCTGTGAGTCGTGAGAGCAGGGCCTTGTCAGACTTCAACTGCGCCGTCTTTTGGCGCCTTCCTAGCTTTTGACGCTCAAAACCCCGCGCAGTTTTAAGGGCTTTGTGTATCTGCAGTGTGCCATATTCGATCTTCTGCTCCAAACGAGCTGCTCTGAGTGTCAACTTTCGCTCCTTTGGGTTGAAAGATGTGCTTTCTTCGGTCTCATCGAGCTTGCGCTTTGGCATAATGTCAGGTAGCAAGTGAAATATATAGACAGATGAAATAAAAATCAACGGCAGGCTTGCGCGTTGCTGACTGCTACTCTGTACTCCGTTCAGACTACGCTGTCGAAAAGAACTTAGTGTACGACATTATTTTAGCTATCTACGGAGTACTCCGTACGGAGTATGGCTTTTGTTCGTTAACTTTTAGGTAGTTAACCTAAGTAGTTAGTTACGGAGTACTCCGTAACTAGGTAGTTAACTAGTTAACTAGTTAGTTAGTTACATAATTAACTAGTTAGTTGCTCCGTACGGAGTACGGAGTATTTAGTTAACTTAACTAGTTAATTAGTTAGTTAATAGCAACTACTCCGTACAGAGTACTCCGTACTCCTTAGTTTACCTCTCACTACTCTCTCTATACTTTGTACTTCCGTACATACCAATGGGCGCGTGGCGCAGGTAACAACATAGTTAGTTAGTGGTGAACTAACTAGCTGCAGAGTACGGAGTCCAAATAGTAATTTTTATCATCTTCTATTGAGAGTGCCTCTTTGTCTACCTTCTTTCTCACTGCCTTGTAACAACCCATGGACAAAATAACAGAACACAGAATTGATGCAGCCTGTGATGATTTTGTTGCTGCAATTGACCCTGTGAAAGCATGTGATTTGGCCTCATCATGCCATCCAAACAAAGCCGCCTGTTCTATCCTTGGAGAGTGGAAAAGGGGAAGTTACAATGTTTGTATCCCAGTTGTTTTCAAGAATGAGGCCGAGAAGTGGATGATCAGGATTCCATTACTTCCCCGATTGGCGTTTCCAGAGGAAAAGATGCGGAGTGAAATTGCGACCATGAAGTAAGTCTTGTCAAGCGAATCAGTGGCCAGGATTCGAGCTCATTGTCGTGCTAACTAAAGATAGGTACATCACTGAAAAAACTACTATCCCTATTCCTCGCATCCACCACTACTCAATTACTAGTGACAACATCCTAGGCCTTCCATTCCTGATTATCGAGTATATAGAGGGGAACACAATGCATTCTATAAAATTCACTTCTTTAGAGCGGAAGAAACGGCGACGCCTCTATGCTCAAATAAGTGATATCTATATTCAGTTATACCGGCAACAATTTGATAGAATTGGGGCTCTCACTCTGACTGAAGATGGAAACTGGATATTCGCCAGCAACCGTCCATTAACCATTGATATCAATGAACAAGAGATTAGTGGTCTGGATTTTTGCCGCTTCCTGGCTCCTGATCAGACCTTCCAGTCAACTATCGATTATGTTTACATGATAGTAAGACTAATGTTCAATGACTTTTACCGCGGCCGTGATTCTATTCTAAATGAGAGTGATGCTCAACTATACTTGTACAGTATATATGCCTGCCAGGGAATTCTGATGGAGTGGGTTCAACCTGAAACCAATAATGGACCATTTGTTTTAATGCATGGTGATCTTCGTCCACCAAACATTATCATTGATGATGATTTGAACATCATCTCAGTTTTAGACTGGGAGTGGAGCCACACTGTTCCAGTTCAAATGTTTGTTCCTCCATCCTGGCTTACAAATCAAGACGTTGTTCAAATTTCAGACAAAATCTCCTCAGTTGGGTATCTTGAAGCTGTTTATACCTTTACATTTGAACTGGGCTGGCAGGAACATGCTTTTCATAATCCCAAAAGACTTTTGATACGTGATCTTCCTCTGTCAAAATATTGGGAGCGCTTATCCTTGATTCAGGACTATCTCCTTCCTTTGGGACTTCTAGCCCCCCACTGTTTCTCAAACATCTACTGGAAAGTTTTAGATAGTCACTACTATGGCCAGAATGGCAATAAAGAGCGAGTACGGGCTTTCTTTGAGCTTGACATTCGAAAGCCCAATCTCCAGGCTGTGAGGAATAAAGTGGAAGAGTACGAAAAGTACAAGAGGGAGCTACAAGAGTTAGGCATAGAGCCGAGAACCATCGTGCCAGCAACCACGGCCGAAGAATTGTCCTGGCTGGCGAAGGCCTTTAAAGAAAGAGAGACTAAGAATGCCGAAGTGATGCGGGATGTATTTGACTCTCAACAGGAACCCCAAGCCCAGCACCCAGCGTGCACGGTTCTAGATACTTCCACCACGAAGGAGCTTTTAACTGCAGGTACGTGGCTGATTATAGCCTTCAGTGCTGTATCTGCGATCCGCATTATCAGCGGCAGATCCATAAAATAAAGTGCCAAGGGGCATTATTACTGTATTAACGGAGCAGCTCAATTGCATCTCGAAGACTCTTCAGATCAGCTTTGATTCCGCGCAGTTTCTCTTCTTCATTTTGGATTTGCATATCAATGGTTGCACCCGTTATTTCAGCATCGCGGGCGTTTTGCGCCGCCCTCGCTTTGGTACTAAGCTGTTCGAGGGAAGCTTTTCGCTGCACCAAGAAAGCAATAAAATTTGTAATGTTTTCACCTTCATCCTGCAGCGCTTCCAGTTTCTTCTCTTTTTCTTCCAGCCCTCTTTTGATATCGTCTAACAACGAATCTCCAGAAGTTGCCATTGTAATTTAATCAATACCTTATCGCAGCAGAGGGCTAGATAAACAATAAGAAGGATATTGTCTGATGTATGAGACAGATGACATGGCCAAGGAACCCACACCACCTTTTTTCGGTCTGTATGTAAAGGGCTGAGGGGCTGAGGCGGGGTAATATCCATGCAGGCTGGCAGTTCTTTGCTTGGACTGTTGAGAGGGCCCAGCCAGGTCAATGTGACCCCTGTGTACTCAATAACTGAATAGCATAGGCTATCATTCTCTCTTTTCTTATTATCTTTGTTATATGTGTTTCTAGCACTGTTTCTGTGGTGGGTGGGTGGGTGGGTGGGTGTTATTCATTATTTTTCATAGCCTCTTATGCAGTCCCGTTCGCAGGTCCCCAGGTGCCCAGGCATGTGGTCAACAGGCATCTTAACTGGTAATTACTGGTTCCAAACACAGATGTTACCAGTGCGCAATTGGTATGATGTGGGTTGAACTGTCTCCAGACATTGTGAAGTGGCTCAACAGATCTTGGCATTGTATAATCAGATTAAGTTACTAAATATTACTAGAAGTATTAGAAGATCTTGAAAGAACTTAGAATGTAGTAACTGTAACAAAATGATCACTTATAAAGATGCTCAGTATGATGTTGTAAGATGATGAGTGGTCATACTTTTCTACTATCTGATTACTACTAATAAGAATCAATAAGAAGTCACATTAACAGTGATGTAGATTACATTCATCTATTCTGCTGCATCACTTCAATGTTGTTGTTGAAAATATTCATTGTCTGATTACTACTGATAGATGTCAGTGACAAATAATATTAACAATGATGTAGATTATATCTGTCTATTCTGCTGCATCACTTCAATGTTGTTGTCAGAAATATTCATTATCTAATTGCTACTGATAGATGTCAGTGACAAACAATATCAACAATGATGTAGATTATCTCTGTCTACTATGCTGTCTATCACTTTAATGTTGTTGAAAATATTTCTTGTCCAGTTGCTACTGATAGCATATATCAGAATGCAGATATATTTGATATTTATTCATTAAGATATTGTCTTATTATTGACATTCTAATTACATGCTTCTAGTTTATACTGATGTCTACCACTTGGTCTGCAACATGGAGGCAAGTACAGAGCTAGCACAAACATTTAATTTTGAATTTACATATGAGATTGATGAAGATGCAATAAATGAAGATGATAGTTATCATAAATTTACTGTTGTATGTCTATTAAATGAGCTGCATGAGACAAGATACTAACTGTCATTAGTTAGATGTTATCAATAACAATTCAATACAATTGATTGTTCAAGATAGATTCTCACAGCACTCAACAACTATGAAAATTGAACATGTTCAGTTTCTACCACAATATCCAAACACTGAGATATATGACTACACATATTGTGTGAACACAGAAAAAATGTCAACTGAAAATATTCAGCAACTACATTCAATGATATTTATTCAATGACAGCTGATGATAACTGAATTTTACTGACATGAACTAGATACAATATGGACATGAAAATCAGAATGATCACACTACATAATGAGCTCATTCTCCATTTCTTGATGTTTCATGCAAAGTTATTAAATATCAGTGTTCTGGTGTCAAGATTTGTTCAAAAGCAAGATCAGAGCTTTGCTAGATTGAACATACACATGTTATCAATTATGCACAGCTTGATATAGAAATAACAGAGCATCTATCAGAGCTTACTGATGAGATTCAGTTAGAACTAGACAATATTTCTGATGAACATATCATCTGAAATCAATTTAAGTTCTGATGTCAGTTACATTAAGAGACATGCAGTGAGTCAGAATGTTACAGTGATCAATTGTGCATTGACTGATGAAGACAGACATAACTGAGTGCTATCAGTACTTACTATATTGATTGCAAGATCTGGCAGAGAGAAGATGAAAAAACTCATTTTTTTTGAAATATATCTGCAGACTTAAATTGAGATCTTCTAAAACATCTTGTCAATGACCCAACTTTAGTTATACAACAACATTGCTCCCAGATCCTATCAGTTGCATCATGAATAAAACATTGTTGTATGACACTCTTCCATCTATTACTGTGTTTGATTCTTATCAGTTATCATCAGCACATCATGATCATCTTGGGGAGCAAACTATTACTATTCAGTCATGTGAAGTTGAATTTGTTGTTGTGATTCCAGATCACAACACTTCATCCCATCTGCTTTTCATCAGCTATGGCATTCATACACATTCAGTACCACCACCAACCAAAGTTCCAAAACATCTAATTGATGATATTCAATGTGTTATTCAATGAATTCATGATTCATTGTAAGACTCCATGCTGCAGCCTTCTTACATTCATTTCATCATCTAAAAGAGGTTCATAAAACCTTTTTGATGCTTAGATGATCATGCTTCATGGCATCTGGGGTTCATAAACTTCATGACTGATCACATGATCATACTAGCAAAGCTGAACACACAAAATCTGCCACAGACACTTCTTTACAAAGATCAGTGACAACATATCTAGAGACTCTAGATACTGTTGTAGCAATACAAGTTATCTCTCTCTCTCTCATGCTTAGATCCCTTCATAACCACTTCTCACTCAATCTAACCACATTTATGAAGACTGTAAGCCATTGCCACATTATCTGCAACCACCCAAGCCTCACAGTTTGCCACTTCCTCAAATAAGCAGATGGCCTGACAATGGTTTTCACAAGGCAGAACAACTGAGACCAAACTGAATCCTCAACCCTTTTCTCAGTACCAGAGTTAGCCAAGACACCAAGTGCAACAATAAATCTGGATAAAAGCATAACCCAGACTGAGGAACCACCCTCAGAGAACACAGAATCTCTTGAGAACTTAAGAGAGTGGATACATCTCATGGAGAGAATTCAAGAACTACAGCAGAATTTACAAACCCTGAATAGAAAGCATGGATGAACAGAATCACTTAATGTTCTGACCTCTAATCCAAATCCTCCAAAGAAGAGTTCAGTCATCAAGCCTTCACAACACAAGACCAACTATCAGATCAAGAACTATACAGTCTACTGACAGTTTATCTCCCAAATAAAATTCATCTGAGATGCTAGTGGTCTGGACAACAATGAAACTCTGAAGTATGCAGTCACAGAATTGAACTATAATGAGAAAGATCTTTGAGAATCACACTCAGTTCAGAATTCCACTCTGAACACCTGAACTGAACTCAAACAATTTCTACTTTTATGACTAGATGATTCTGAAAACTGAACCTGATTAGCCTGGAGAAATCTTTTTCACCTTTGTAAAAGAGATGATGAATCAGACTTTGACTGATTGCAATGATTCCAACAACATTTGCAACAAGTGGATGAAGAGACACAGAGTGTGGATAAGTTCATCAAACACCTTTTTCTATGGCAATATGACAAACCTATGTGCAATAAGCTGAATGAACAGAAGAATCTTCCAGAGAAACTGAATGAGATTCAGACAGTTGCAATGTGATTATGACCTAGTGTCAAGAGTTCCACTCATCTCAATCCAAAGTCACAATCCATCTCAGAGACAAATACCAACTGTGGTGGAACACCATTCTATTCAAATTGAGTCTGTGGACCACAAGATTAGAATTATAGAAACAAGATCTGGATCTCATCACAACAGAGAGAAAACCAACATCAGAGAATCTTCAATTCCCAGTTTATGAACTCAAAGTGAGGTGGAAAATCAGATAAGAATGCTTGCTACAATTGTGGTGAGACTGATCACTATGTGGATAAGTGCATCAAGCCAAAGAAGAAATAGAGATTTGGGAAGCAGTCTGTAGATAGAATGAATATCAAGCAATTGAAGTTGTCTGAGCTACAAGTTGTTTTCTCAATCACATTGTTCACCAGAGTTCATAACTCTGAGATAGAAAAAGAAGTTAAGTGAACTGCTGCAGCAGACTCACTATGTTTCTTTCTGATCATAAGTCTGAAGCTTGCAGTAAGACTGGGTCTGAAGATTCATAAGATGAATGTTGAGATGGAGACTGCAGGAAAGAATCATTCAAAGTTAGTATCTGAAGAAATTATGAACATTTTCTTTGAGGCACAAGATACTATGAGTAATTGACAGATGTTTAATGAGCAAGCATTGATTGCTGATATATCTGAGAATATGATGTTAGGTCTCTTCTGACTACACTGTCATGATTCTGTTGTTTCATTTGGAAATCTGTCACTTGAGTTTTGTAAGCAGGGTGGATTAGACCCTATGACAAAAATCAAGTCAGTTTCTCTAAATGAACTTGTTGATGGTGGTAAACCCTTCTATGTAATGAGGATTCATAAAAGTGAACAAGTCACCATCATGAATGTGAATCTGCAGATATCAGACAGTTATAAAGATTTAATTGATGCATTCAGTGATGCAAAAGGTGCTTTCTTGCTCCCTCACTGAGAGGATGACCTATGTGAGCAAGTCAATGTGCAGTAGAAGCTCATACAACAAAAGCTTAGTTAGTAGAATATACTTACTGATAACTATATAAATATATATAAATATATAAGTATATAGTTATATATAAGGTTTTGGTGAA